GACCTGTTTGTTTCCTCTCCACCTATCCTCTCCTCTATCCCTCTTCTATCCGCCTCCCACTCTCTCCCTATTTATTTCAAAACCCCCTTCCCCTCCCCCTTTTCTGATGAAGGGTCTAGGCCCGAAACGTCAGCCTCTCTGCTCCTATGATGCTGCTTGGCCTGCTGTGTTCATCCAGCCCTGCACCTTGTTGTCTCTTTTAAAAGTTGTCTGGGTATGCATTTCAAGCACTGTAACCCACAGGGCTATGGAAAATATGCAGTAAAGTGGGATTAAACTGAGTGGCTCATTGTTCGGTTGGCATACACGTTATGGGTCAGGTAGTTATTTTTTCTGCGCGATAAGCTTTTCATGATTTGCAGTTAACTGGCTTAAAATTTTTGTCTGCCAAAAGCACATAGTACGTTCTTGATATTGATCTGAGAACAGAACCTATTCTAATGCTGTAACCTTGAATACATTTAGTGGAATTGTTCATGCCAAAAGGTTGGCTCCTTATTTTAAGGTTTTCAATAAGAGCCACATAAATAACTGGACACAAAAGGGATTGATAATACTTATTGATTGCATTGTGTTTACATTTCTGCCATGGTGTGCTAATGTGATAAACAGATTCTGAAAGTGCCAATTCAGTCTCTAGTCTGTGCTCAGTTGGAAGATGCAGAAGCTGCGTGTTTTGTGTGTGTGCAGATGTCAGTGTCTGGCCCAGTTTGCTCAGCCTTGACAGATCCGAACCAGTCACAAAGAGCTGACTACAAATTCATACAAACTCAAAATAATTTGGACCCAATTCCTTATGAGATAAAATCTTTCATAAATGAAATATAAAGCAATGGATTTGCTGGCATGTGCATACAAACCACGTGGATTTATAGGTGCAACAAACAAAAACAGAAGTTGCTAGAAAAGCTCAGCATGTCTGGCAGCATCTGTGAAGAAAAAAATCAGAGTTAACATTTCGGGTCTGGTGACCCTTCCTCACAAACCACTGACCCCTTCTTAACTGGTGTTGCTGCTGTAAAATGGTGCACATGCAACAACCCCAATACATTCTGGATGAGCTTCAAAGGATGCTATCCTGACATCACATAGCCAAATCTGCTGATGTCATTCCAGGATTGGAAACTTGCATCATGTAGACTCAACCCATGAATTAATAAATCCCGTAACAAAGACCTTATGTACACCTGTCAAAGGTACCTGAATCTATGCTAATCAAAAAGTCACTCCACAAGTTGCATGGGAGGTGTTTTTTTCTGTAAATCTTTCTTTGACACAGTTGATGGAAGCTACATGCTGGATTCTGACATGTTTCTTGACAGTTTGCAAATAGAGCCAAGGAAGAGTCAAGATTAACCCAGGATAAGAGACAATTGTTGTAGTGCCTTTTGGTTTGAAACATGATCAAGAAGGAGAAAGAGAGGGGGCCGGGTCTGAAAAAAGAGACTGAAAGGGGAGACACTGTGACCATGCAATTTTAAAGAATCCTACTTCCACAACTTGTCCATCCCCATATGGTTCCGCTATCCACCACTGTCCTGTCCAATTCACATTCCCCATCAAGACATCCTCGGTTAGAATCGTACAATAAAGGCCATGAACAAAAGTTTGCATATTGCTGAAAAAAGAGCAAAACTTTTCATGTAAGACTGAACAGGACATTTCTCAAGAAATCCCAATTTGAAGGGAAGTCAACATTTTATAATGCATGAGAGGACACTGTTGATAGGTGAACAAATGGACCTGAGGTGTTGCAATGAATACCATACCAGTTAATGATGACCGACAGTTAACTGCCAAATGCTGTTTATTTTTTTAAACAGGCAAGTTGACTCTGGTCAGACATTGCATTGAAAAATGAACTTTCGAATGGCTGTCACTGTCTTGTTGAATTGATAAAAACCATAATGTATTATTTCCATTTGCAAAAAAAATTAATATATTTCCAATACTTTGAAGTACTGACACGGTGAACCTGACTGACTATGATAAATTGTCAGTGTAATTCTTCACAAATTTGGGATTATTTAGTAAATCCAGTCCAGTTGCAAAGCAACATCTAATGTTGGACACTGCAAGTGTGGGTGGGTTGGGGACAATTAATACCTTAGGTGTTGAGAACAGTACAAGAGATGTGCAGTTTGGTACGATCCTGGAGTTTTTGGGATATACGGCCTATACATCTAGTGTCAAATCGGCATTGAAATTCATAACTGTCCTGTAGGATAATGGATACCGTGGTCAGATCATTTCTTACTGTGTATCAAGCAAACTCATTAATGGCCCTAAGTATCACTCTTGGTCCTAAAAAGTGCCTAGTCTACCTCAGGTTGGGGAAGATATCGCCGAAGTTTGAGAAAAACGTTGAGCAATGCTGTTGCTGGCAATTGGAAGCACTATTAACAGAAATTTCACTGAGTTTCAATGTTGTGTTCAGTGTTTTTAATACAACTGCAGCCTTTTGAAAAGCCCACATTAACACCCACAAACCCCTGTGGTTGACTGCTCCAGAATCAGTACAGTGTCAGTCTGACTTCAGTTTCAAACTGCTTTTTACCCAAATTAGTTTTGTGGAGTCAGATATTTTCCCGACTGTTCATTCTGCACTCCCAAATCAGGAGCAAAATTTGCGCAATATAAGTCCGTTTGTTGTCACAACTACTTTGGCTATTGTTTTGCAACTTCTTCTCAGTAAAAGAACCTTGCCAGCAAGCTCCCCAACTCCACCTCGCCCTTGCCAAACCTTTAGCAACCAAACCAACTTTGTTTGCGATCAGTAACACGCAAAACAGGTTACGTGACCTTCATTACTCCATTTTTGACTTAAATCAAAAGTTCAGGTTCAGTGGGAATACCCGAACACCAAATATACCCTAACACCAACCTGCAGGTGTTATCAACAGGAAACGCTTCAACTCCATCAATGTTCAAATTACATGTGATAATCAATGGAAAATCTTGGAGGTCTGGGCAAAACATCCGGGCTGCTGCTGTAGAGGTCCCTTATCCTTCTACAATCCTTGGCGTTTGGGAGATAAAGGATACATGGTTTATGACACCTTTGTCAATCCCTCAGACTCTCATAGAATGAAGATACAATTTTGTTCATACTTCCACTGATGCCAATGTGGACTGTAGACTTCCTCAAGATGTGCTTTGATGCCTGGACTGCTCCAGCCAGAGCCTTGCAGTACAGCCAAGGAAGAGTGTGCGACATGACTGTGACATACAGAGGTAGCAAGAATTGTAGATGCTGAGGTAACACAGTGTGGAGCTGAAGGAACACAGCATGCCAGGCAGCATCAGAGGAGCGGGAAAGTTGATGTTTCAGGTTGAGAACCTTCTTCAGAAATGGGGGAGCGGGAAGGGAGCTCTGAAATGAACAGAGAGAGGAGGGGTGAGGCTGGGGAAGGCAGGTGGGATGGTGATAGGTGAGTGCAGGTAGGCAGTGATCGGGATTGGTCAGTGAGGTGGGACGGGCAGATGGGTGGGAGAGAAGGTGGACAAGTTGTGTCAGGTCAAGGAGCCGGGGATGAGAGGGAGGGTTGGTCATGGGATGAGGCCGGGGAGGGAGCGCGGGGTGGGTGTGAGGAGATTTTAAAACTGGTGAAATTCATGTTTAGGCCTTGGGAGGCTCTCAAGGCGGAATATGAGGTGCTGCTCCTCCAGTTTGTGGGTGGTGTCATTGTGGCGCTGGAGGAGGCCCAGGATGGACATGTCACCCAGGGAGTGGGAGAGGTTGTTAAAATGGTTGGCGACCGGAAGGTGGTGGTGTTTGTTGCGTACGGAGCGCAGGTGCTCTACAAAACGGTCACTGAATCTGCACTTGGTCTCACCGATGTAGAGGAGGCCACATCAGGAGCAGTGGATACAGTAGACCAAGTTGACGGATGTGCAGGAGAATCCCTCTCTGATATGAAAGGTTTGTTTTGTGCCTTGAATGGAGGTGAGGGGAGGTGTAAGGGCAGGTGTAGCACTTCCTGCGGTTGCAGGGAAAGGTGCCGGGTTGGTGGGGTTAGTGGGGAGTGTGGAGCAGACGAGGTAGTTGCAGAGAGAGCGGTCCCTATGAAAGGCAAATAGGGGTGGGGAGGGAAATATCTCTTTGGTCGTGGGGTTGGATTGTAGGTGGCAGAAGTGGAGGAGAATGATACGCTGGATGCAGAGGTTGGTGGGGTGATATGTGAGGATAAGGGGGATTCTCTCTTTATTTTTCTTGGAGGGAGGGGATGTGAGGGCAGAAGTGCGGGAAATGCAAGAGATGTGGTTGAGGGCATTTTCAATCACTGGAGGGGGGAGGTTGTGGTCCTTGAAATAGAAGGACATCTGGGATGTGCAGGAGTGGAACACCCCAACTTGGGAGCAGAAGTGGCGGAGGAATCGGGACTAAGTGATTGCATTCTTGCAGGAAGGTGGGTGAAAGGAGGTGTGTCTAGTAGCTATGGGAGTCGGTGGGCTTGAAACAGATGTCAATTTTGAGGTAGTCACCAGAGATGGAGATAGAGAGGTCCAGGAAGGAGAGGGAGGTATTGGAGATGGTCCAGGTGAATTTGAGATTGGGGTGAAAGGTATTATTAAAGTTGATGAACTGTTCAAGCTCCTCCTGAGAGCACGAGGCAGTGCCGATACAGTCATCAATGTAGTGGGGAAGAGGTGGGAGATAGTACCAGTGTAACAGCAGAAGAGGCACAAAACAAACCTTTCGTATCAGACAAGGGTTCACCTGCACATCTGTCAACTTGGTCTGCTGTATCCGCTGCTCCCGATGTGGCCTCCTCTACATCAGTGAGACCAAGCGTAGACTCAGAGGCCGTTTGGTAGAGCACTCCCTGGGCGACATGTCCGTTCTGGGCCTCCTCCAGTGTCACAATGACACCCCCTGCAAACTGGAGGAGCAACACCTCATATTCCGCCTCGGGAGCCTATAGCCCGATGGCCTAAACATGGAATTCACCAGTTTTAAAATCTCCCCATCCCCGACCTCATCCCATGACCACCCTTCCCTTTGATCCCTGCCTCCTTAACCTGACACAGCCTGTCCATCTTCTCTCCCACCTATCCACCCCACCCACCTCACTGACCAACTCCCACCACTCCCTACCTGCACTCACCTATCACCATCCCATCTACCTTCCCAACCCCATCCCTCCTCTCTCTATTTATTTCTGAACTCCCTTCCCCCTCCCCCATTTCTGAAGCAGGGTCTCGACCCGCAACATCAACGTTCTAGCTCCTCTGATGCTGTTCTTCCAGCTCCATACTGCATTATGACTGTGACATGCTGTGCTTTACACAACTGGAGTGGACAAAAGAACTGTGTCCTGCATGTAGACAGAATAAGGAGTCAACAGCAGTCTCCTGAGGATGAAGATGAGGATCAGGACATTGATGAGGATGGCTGGCCAGGACAGCATGTCAGAGCAGAGCATTGTTGAAACCAAGAACTAGGGATAATCTGATGGAGACCTGCTTCCAAAATGAATGAGCTGGTTTGGATTTCATTTAGTTTGTTAAGGTTCTTTAGTAATCTGATAAGTAGCCCCTGCTTAGTATAAAGGACAGGAAAACCTTGTTCCTTTTGCTGTCCATGACCTTTTGTGTTACTGAATGCATACTTCATTATTGATCTACCCATATGCTTGATACTTTCGGGTGATCCACTTTCAAGTGTCTATACATTATTTTTCCACTGACCATTAGGGGGAAAAGCAGCTGTCGGTGAACCAGTATAGCATGGCACTAAGGTTATGTAGCTCTTAAGACTTTGAGCAGCATATCAGATCCGAGTATTGTAAAGTAAAGTCTGTTTTATTAGCCGGGAGATTGAGAAGAAGTCTGAGGAACCTTCTTCTGATACTTCCAACACTGATCATCCTTCTGAAATGTTTTAGAGTTCACATAAACTGTTAAGTTGCCTTGAAATGCTTGAAATCCTCAAGGACTGTGTTGAACCAGCAGGAAGCAGTGCTTTGTACGACTTTACTCGTAAGACCATAAACTATAGGAGCAGAATTAGGAAATTCGGCTTATTGAATCTTCTCCACCATTTGATCATGACTGATATGTTTCTCAACCCTATTCTCCTGCCTTTTTCCCACAACCCACTCGATGAGGAGGCCTCCACAGACTTCTGAAACTATGAGTTCCACAATTTTCCCACCCTCTGGCTGAAAGAAATTACTCCTCATCTCAGTTCTAAATCTTTTCTCCTAGTGGAAACATCTTCTCCATATCCACTCCATCCAGACCTTTCAGTATTCTGTAGGTTTCAATGAAATCCCCCGCATCCTTCTGAACACCGTCAAATACATACCCAGAATCCTCAACTACTGCAGAAATCTTAAGCTGTTTATTCCCAGGATCATCCTCCTAAACCTCCACTGGATACCTTCCAAGGCCAATGCATCCTTCCTTAGATACAGGGCTCAGCAGCATAGTGTGCTAAGAGAAAGACTGGACAAATGAACATATGTTTGGACAGCCTCATTGACAGCGTACACGCTTGAAAAGCTGATAGAATGAACCGTTCCCTTCAGAGGTGTAGAGTAATCACTGATTCCTTCCTCTCACTCACAAGTGGATGTAAGTGTGGCACGATGCATGTAGACCAAGCTCTAGAACAATCTCTGGACGCTGTTTAGCCTCAATGTTGTCCATCTATAAATGCAATGCCTTGTCTGTGGTCAACAATATTACATTTCCAAGATCTGTGATGTCTGAGACTATCTGTAATTGAAGAGTCAGTTGCTTGTGAGAGATGAGCAAAGCTTTGTGATTACAACTCATTTCATCCTGGGGATGTCTAGAGGTGCTGCTCATCACGAACACATGGTCCAACAGTGAAAATTACACTACAGCAGACATTTAATCATTACATGTGAAGATATAATTTAAAAATGAAAATTTCAAATAATATGTCACTAGTGCCACCTGTGTGCCTCATTAGTTTCTTCCTTCCTCTGTCTCTCTGTCCCTCTAAGTGCAGTTCCCATTTCATCTGGGCTGGATGGAGCTGCTCTGTAGTTGATCCTGTTTGTCTGGGAGATGTGGTTGATCAGATCCTGTCTCCCTGAGAGGAAGGAGCACATGGATTGATGGTGAGATTCCCCATGCCTGTTTCTCCTTGCTATTAATGCCGAACACCTAGAGTACATGTCAGAACCACCCTGCTCATGGAGACTGCCAGATGCACAAATGTTAGAGCTAGCATGCTGCTGATAATGTTAGTGGACCCCTCCAACCTTCAATCCAGTTTATGGAATGAATCTGATCAATCTGTCTGCTGTTCCCATGTCTGTCTATGCATTTGAACAAAGTTATCAATAGCTGCAATTGTGGGATTATCCTTGGTGCCTGATCTCCAGCAATCCTCTGAGTGCCAGGGAACTGGGGCATTTCCTCCCCATCCGGCTGCAGAGATGTGTCAGTGATGGTGCTACCCAGGCTGACTGGCAACCATGAATCTCACTCGACAAGACACTAACTACATTTGGGAAAATTCCATCCATTGTCTTTACAAGTTAATATATGCAACAGAAAATTTACATTGCTTTGTTATTATTTTCAGAGAATGAATATTTACATAAAAGCAAAGAAGGAAATGTTATCCGCATTAATATTGAAACAGGGAAAACAAGTAACGTTATATCTAACACCACATTTGTAAGTACCTTCCTTATTTTATACTTTAAAGGTTAAGAACCCTATGTCCTAGCACTGATACTTTACCAATGACATTTGTCATGAAATTTGCATCAAACCAATTCTAGCAAAGTAAAGTTGCAAACATGGGTAATTAATTTAAACAACGTAAAAGTGTCATCATTATATAGACTGAAATTTAATGAAACATAAGAGTAGAACCAACAAATGTAAAAACATCTTGCAAGATTGTTGAATGGAGAAATCAGTACAGTTTATCAATATTGTCTATGCATTTCAATAAAATGGGCAAAAAAAGCCATAAATGGTTGACTAAAGAAGTAAAGAATGAATCTCATCAAGATCTCATCAACCAAGCCAACCTCAAGCAGGTGATGCCACAATACCACCAACGCACCTCCTGCCCCACCAGGGGACCGAACATTCTGGACCACCACTAACACAACCATCAAAGATGCCTACTGCTCAATCCCCATCCACACTTCGGAAAATCCGACCATGGCGCTGTGTTCCTCCTCCCAGCTTACAAGCAGAAGCTGAAATGGGAGAATCCTTCATGAAAAGAAGTACTGTGCTGGCCCAAGGCAGTGGAAGATTGTCTCCAGGACTGCTTGGACTTGGTGTACTGGACCATGTTCAAGTGTTCAGCAGAAAACCTAGACAAATGTGCCATCACCGTCACGGACTTCATTAGCGAATGCATGGAGGACTGTGTACCAAAGAAGTCAGTCTTGAGTGTTCCCCAATCATAAACCTTGGATGAACCAGGAAATCCACTCCCAACTGAAGACCAGAAGTGCAGTATTCAAGTTGGGTGACCTGGGCTAATACAGAAAATCCAGATATGACCTCCACAAAGCCATCAGAGAGGCCAAGAGACAGTACCGGACCAAGTTAGAGGCCCAGACCTACCAAACAGACTCATGTTTACTTTTGCCGATGTTGAGAGACAAATGTTTTCATTGCACCATGGGATACAAAATGAAACAGTGTATGATAGCGGATAATGACACGTCCCTCCCTGACATACTCAATGCTTTCTACGCTCAGTTTGAGCAGAATGCCATCAGCGTGGCGACACCTGACCCAACAGCCCCACCTGTTCCCTCTGTCACAGCTTCAGAAGTCAGATCGATCTTCCTGGGAGTCAACCCAAGGAAAGTGACGGGTCCGGACGGTGTCCCCGGCCGAGCACTCAGATCCTGTGTGGACCAACTGGTGGAGGTATTCACTGACATCTTCAACCTCTCCCTCCTACAAGCCGCAGTCCCTACCTGTTTTAAGAAGTCCCCACTTGCTTCAAGAAGATCACCATCATCCCCGACCCAAGAAAACACATGCAGTGTGCCTTAATGACTACTGCCCAGTGTCTCTGACTTCAATAATCATGAAGTGCTTCGAGAGGCTGGTCATGGCCCACATCAGTTCCAGTCTCCCAGCCTGCCTCCATCCTCTACAGTTTGCCTACTGACATAACAGATCCACAGAGGATGCCATATCCTTAGTCCAGCACTCATCCCTGGAACATCTGGACAACAAAGACACCTACGTCAGACTCCTACTCATTGACTACAGCTCTGCCTTCAACACCATTATTACCTCCACACTGATCTCAAAACTCCATGACATTGGTCTAAGCTCTACCCTCTGCAATTGGATCCTCAGCTTTCTGACCCATAGGCCACAATCAGTGAGGATAGGTAACTGCACCTCCTCCACAATAACCCTCAACACATTGGAGCCCCCCAAGGATGCGTCCTCAGCCCCTTAGTGTAGTCCCTGTACACTGACGACTGTGTTGCCAAATTCCGAACGCACAGCATCTACGAGTTCACTGACAACACTACCATAGTGGGATGGATGTCTAACAATGATGAGTCAAAATACAGAAGGGAGATAGAGGGCTCGGTGACGTGGTGCAATGAAAACATTTGTCTCTCAACATTGGAAAAACTGAAGAACTGATCATTGTCTTCAGAAAGAAAGAAGGAGAACACACGCCCGTCTACAATAACAGAACTGAGGTTGAGAGAGCAAAGAGCATCAAGTTCCTCAGAGTGACATAACCGACGACATGTCCTGGACTTCCCACATAGATGAAACAGTCAAGAAGGCAGAGCAACGCCTCTGCTTCTTCAGGCGGCTCAGGAAATTTGGCATGTTCATAAGGTCCCTCACTAACTTCTGTAGATGCACCACTGAAAACATGCTGTCCGGGTGCATAACAGCCTGATATAGCAACTGCTCTGCCCAGGACAGTAAGAAACTGCACAAGGTGTTGTGCACAGCCCAGACCATCATGAAAGCCAGCCTTCCATCCATTGACTCAATTTACACAGCTCACTGCTGCATAAAGGCGGCCAACATCATTACAGACCCATCAAAGACCTGGCAATGACCTCCTACAGCCTCTTCCGTCAGGGAGAAGATACAGAAGCCTGAACACACGCACAAGTAGGTTCAGGAACAGCTTCTTTCCGGCTGTTATCAGACTGTTGAATGGACTCTAACCTCAAATATTGTAAACTGCAATGTAACATTTTTGTCTCTAAGTCATTTTGATCCATACATCCTTTGCTTGCTGTGATCCGCTTGTACCACTTGTGAACATAGCTTTTCACTGTATTTCGATGCACATGACAATAAACTCAATCAAATCAATCATCAATGACAGTTCTGTTTGAATAACAGGTGACAAATATTAATAGGTATGATTAAAGAAACAGCCCTAATCTGCTTTTACCACAGCAGGGCAATGGTTATTTGCAAGTGGCAAGCTAGCCTGTAGCACTCTACAATGATGGTATAGTTGTGCTTACTCAAACCTCTCTGTAATTTGAACAAACATCCTCCCTCCAACCCCACCCCAGTGCAAACACACCTTTAGTTCACTCCACTCTTGATGTATGTGTCTTCAGCTGTCACAGCCTGAAGTTTGGCATTCCCTTCTGAAACCACTCCACCTCTCTTTCAAACACTGCTTAAAACATTCCTTTCTAGCCAAGTAGCTTTTGGTCATCTGCCAAAATGTGTTGAATGCTGCCCCTTGAAAGCAGCTTGAGTTGTTTTATTAAATTAAAAGTGCTAGGGAAATATCATATTTTGTTGAAGGTATCAAACTGTCTAGGTATTGGATTGAATTATCTGAACTGAAATGATCATATGTGACCATAAGTATATGTGATGAGTTGCTAATGGGAAGATAGACAATTTTTTTTTTAGTTTCTGATTACATTGGTTTTATAATGTACTGAAGATCTGTTCACTCACAATGTCTAAGATCTTTGTGGACTGTATTAAAGAAATAAAGGAGTTACAAAAATAAAAGACGAGGTAAGTTTCTTGAGTATTAATTTTGCTTTTACCTTCAATTTACAGGATGAGGTCCAAGCTGGTTATTATACTGTTTCAGCTAATGGAAATTATGCTCTTCTGGAAAGCAATTATTCAAAGGTAAGATATTTAAGCAATCCTTATTATTGTTATTGTCAAAGTAAAATAACAATGCATCAGGCCTCCTATTCGAGAATCATTTGCAAATGTGGAAAGGTTTGTTTTTAGAGGAACCTTTCATGGTAAGACGGGGCTATGACACAACCTCTGTATCCCTGTGATCTTTCAAATAATACCTCCATTATTAACATTGTCATCATGAAGAGTTTTAATTCTTGACAAACATACCTTTTAATTTTGTTGTGACATTTTATATTTCGTCCTGGAATTTACTGATTAACTTAATATTTTATCTCGAATGAAATTATGCAAGAAACAGACTCTGTATCAACATTTTTCTCAAAAAAGATTTAAGTAGATGTCAGATTTCTGTAATCGCTGTAATCTTCTAATATAGGGTCCATTATTAGTTGAATTTTAAAGAAAGACTGCACATCATCTTATTGCCATGCACGTCTGAGTTTAGTCCAGGATTTGGGTGAAAATGTAAATCACCTCATGGGAAAGTAGCCGCTGACAGCAAACAGGAAAAATAGAGTAAGTGCCAAAGTAGGACACTTCCCAGCAGAGTCACCATCAAGAGGAATGGGAGTTCACTTCGTGCTATTAAACCCTTATCAGGAAGGCAGACTATGGCCTAAGAGCCCATTGACTCCAATAAATACTGGCATTTGAATAGAAAATGAAGGTTGTAGAATGTATTTGCAGAAAGAAAATAGTGGAACAGTGCATTGCCAACCCCTTACAAAAGAAAAATTCAATACATCCATTGTACCTCTGTTTAGGATAAATTTTCAACACTTTTAGACCAGCTTTCATATTAATTCATTTCACGACATGTTTCTTCCATAAGCCAGTTCTTGTTACATGTATTATATGCCATGAGGTGGCATAGCTGCTTGCATTAAAAATTATATTCCCATATTGGTATAATATGAACTGACTGGGATATTTAAGAAATTTGAATGCCTGCTTCTTGTGGTTGGATAGTTTTTTTCTGTATTGATCTTTGTGCTTCAGCTAAGTCATTCATATTTCTTTTATGAGTTTCTTTTCTATCTGCTGTTGTGCCATCTCACAGTTTATCTGATCTGAGATCCACCTCTTCTTGCTCCCTTCCCCTAGTCCTAAATTGACTTACCATTCAATTTGCATTATCATGTAGCACGATGAAGGAAGGAAATGCTTCCCTCTCTTAGGGAACTGTCCTGTCTTTTTTTAAAATCTGCCTTCATCATTCCCTTCCACCAAAACCGACCTCCCGAACCCGCACTTCAAATTCATCCTTGGTCGTGCTGCTTGAAATTTGCCATCCTGTTTCAAATCCCCACATCCTTTTCATAGCTGTTGAGTGTGTTGTGGCCTCCCAAATCTATATCCACCTTTCTAGCAAATCCGTATTTGAACATTTCCTATCTTTTTTCTACTTGAGCTATAGCATTGAATCATACCTACATTTGCTTTGATTAAAACGTCAGTGTCCTGTCTCTGCTCATTCTTCTTGACCAGTCTGCAGGTTTTAACATGATTGACAACATCATCCCCCCAAACCTCTCTGTCCAGCTGACCATGACTGCTCTCACCAGGTTTTACTGGAACATACTCTGTCACAGCCACAGTATCTCCTGAAATTGTTACTCTTCTGACTTCTGCACTTCAAGTTCTGTAAAGAGATTTCATTGCCAGCCTCCTATTTCTTACCTACATACTGTTTCTGAGCAATTTGATTTGGAAATTTGTCCTACACATATTCGATACCCAATTCCTCATAGAGCATTACAGCATGGAAAGGGGCCCCTAGTTTGACATTGTAAAGACAAATCGTTATCTTCAGCACTCACCACAAACTCCATTGCCTTGCCACTAATTACAACCCCCTCCCTGATCACTGTCTCAGACTGAACCAGACTGCTCGCAGACTCAGCATTCTATTTGATCCTGAGTTGAACTTCCTACTCTGTATTCATTCCAACACAAAGGTAACTTAATAGCAACTTCGTAATGTCACCTATCTCCATCAAACCGATCATCCCCATTTGTGATACTTCATGATTCAACTATTCCGATGTTCTTCTGGCTGGCCTTCTGTTTTCTATTCTCCCTAAACTTGTACACATTAAAAACTCATAGCCCCTATCCGAGATTGCACCATATTCTGTTTACCCATCACCCTTAGGGTAATTGATCTATATTGAGCCCTAGTCTATTGGAACATTTAATTTCTGTATGTTTTTTCCATTTAAATTATCACTTTCATCTTCAAATCGCTTCTTGTTCTTGCCTCTCCCTGTCTGTGCAATTTTCTTCAACCTTACAAGTTCTAATCACTCTGCATTCCTCCAGCAGTAGCCCATGTGTTCCCCCACTGCACCCACTATTGATAGCTGTGCCTTCAGCCCTAAAGGTTCAGGGCTGGATTCTTCCCGTCAACCTCTTAGCTTTTCCACCTCTCCCTCTCCTCTAACATGGTCCTTAAAACCTTTTGCCTTTAATCAAACATTTAGCAACCAGTTCTAACATCTTTTTTGGCTCAACGTAAACCTTTGTTTGATTAAACTCTTGTGAACTGTCTTAAAATGTTTTACTACATTATTAGTCCTGTACAAAAAACATTGTTGTTTACTCGAACTTTCTCTTGATTTCTTCACAGCTATGGAGACATTCTTTTACAGCCTCATATTCTATTTATGATTTAAAATCCAGGTTGGTAACTTTTGGATGAAGATACTGAGCATGTTTTCTTTGTTGTTATTTGTACTTAATACAAAATCTTTTTTTTTCTCTATTTTTAAAATATTTTCCTCTGTAGACAGTTCGTGGCCAACACAAATCTGCCCCAGCAAATCCAGTACATCGCATGGGCCCCAGTGGGTCATACCTTGGTTAGTTAAATATATTTAACTGTGTTTCTCAAAATTGAATGTGTTGATCTTTCATTACATTTCAAATCGAGCATGAAGAATAATGAATAGTACAGAATAATTTTAATGCAAACATTTCATAATATATTATTGTTTTTTAAAATCAAATTTGTAATTATTTACTAAATTTTCACAGAAGTTTCCACTTCTGGTTTTATTTCTGGATTTTTGGAACAGAAGCTAGAATAATGGTAGATTTGTTCATTATTCATCACTTAAGTATTGACAACTTAATAGCTTTTTAATATGGCTCTTTTCCCACCTTTAGGTCTACGTTTGGAATTACAATATTTATCTTAAGACTGATCCCACAAGCTCTTCTATAAATATAACAACCAATGGAAAGAAAAATGAAATCTACAATGGGATACCTGATTGGATTTATGAGGGTAAATGAATGTTTATGAAAAGTATAATGTATGTGGATATACACTATTTTGCTCATAAAGTAGAAGTAACTTTCTGAAGAAGATATTCATTTCCCTACAACATTTTTGCTTGCCTTGCCAAAAGTTTCCTCCTCCTTTCTCTTCACTTTTTTTCACTTCTATTGATTGATTAGGTTATGGTCCATCCTGGAACATGGGTACTACTTATCATCTCCAAACCTTTGGGTCAATGGGAAAGGAGAATTTATTGTTAATCAATGCACTCTGTACACAGATGCCTTGTTTAGTTTTGTTTGTTTGGAGCATTAACACTGTTTGGCTAGTTTTCCTAAGCCTTGCAAAATGGCATCATAAAGAAGGTGGATTCTGTTGCGTGGAACAAGTAATTGCCTTTCCAGCATTCTTGTGGGTAAGAAGTAATGAGAATGCTTTCCCCCCAACCCTCTAAGCTACTGGGATCTGATGTCCTCCCAGCCTTGCAACATGACTAGGTTATTTGATCCATTGTGTCTGCACTGCCTTGATGAACAAACATTATGACTTACTACCGCTCTCCTGCTTCTTCACCATAACCCTACATGTTATTTCTATTCACATAACCCTCTGATGGCCTCTTGAATGTCTTGATGGAACCTGCTTCTACTATACTTCCAGGCAATGCAATCCAAACCCAAAACATTCGGTATGTTAAAAAGCATTTCACCAGCGTCACATTTGCTTTTTTTGCAAATTTACTTTAAATCTGTGCCCTCTCATTCTTGATCCTTTTTATGAGTGGGAACAGTTTCTCCCAGTCTAATTTTGTCTGGACCTCTCGGGATTTTGAAAACTTTTAGCACATCTGTTCTTAGCTTTCACTTCCACAGAAACAATCACAACTTCTTCCATTTTTTGCCATAAAAATAATTTGAAGACCAACCCCTGGAGAAAGTCAAAAGAACTGTGGATGCTGTAAATCAGGAACAAAAACAGAAGTTGCTAGAAAAGCTCAGCAGGTCTGGCAGCATTTGTCAAGAAAAAGTCAGAGTTAACATTTCGGGTCCAGTGACCCTTCCTCAGAACAGGTCTGTTCTGAGGAAGGGTCACTGGACCTGAAACGTTAACTCTGATTTTCCCTGTGAAAAATCACTTGATATTTTCCTCCAGTTTGAAATATCAATTAATTTGCCACTACTCACTATTTTCTGTCATTTAGCCAACTTTGTGTCCATTCTGTCACTGTCTCTTTTATTCAATGGACTTCAGTTTTGCTAACAAGCTTTGTTATATGGCATTTTAGCAAATGCTTTTCCATTGTCCAAATAAACCACACTAGGTATCTTAACCTTCTCTGTTAATCCATAATAAAAAAACTGTGAAGATACCTAACAGATTTCTAAAAAGTGAAAGGAGAAGGGAAGGTGGGGCAAAATAGCAATAGGAAAGATGGGTCAAGTAAAGAAAGTCAAAAGATATTTCTGAAGCAGTGTGAATGACAAGAGAAAGGAAAATCAAAACCAACAAAGATGAAGGAGAAAAGAAAATGAGGCAAAGGTTAGAATCTGAAATTGTTGAACATAATTTGCTCACAAGATATGGGTATCTCTAGCTAGCCAATATTTATTGATTATCCCTAACTGCCCTGAAGATGGTCATGGTGAAGTGTCATCTTGAACTGCTGCACACCTACAAAGAGTTTTCATTTCTTTCATCAAAGTTTGTAGCAGTTTTGTCACAACTGAATGGCTTGCTGCACCATATCAGATAGCAGTAATGTGTCAATCACAGTTGCCGTGGGTCTGGAGTCACATGTTGGCCAGATTAGATAAGGATGGCAGATTTACAATTGACACGTGGTCACCATTACACCAGTTTTTAATTCTAGATTTTATTCAATTCAAGTTTCACCATCTGCCATGTCCCAGAACATTAGCCAGGGGCTTTGAATTACAAGTCCAGTGACATTTTCATTTTGTCATTCCCTGCAGGATGTAGTGTTGAATCAAGAGCTGAGGTGCTGCTCCTGAAGTTTATATTGAACTTTACTGGGAGACTACAAGAGGCTGAGAATAAAGATGCTAGAATCAGGAGCAAAGATGGAATATTAAAATGATAGATGATCTGAAGCTCAGGGTTACACTTATGAAGTGATCTGTTAGCTAGGTGTCTTACTGTTCTATATTTAGTTTCAGTTGCTCTTAAAGGATTGAAATATGTCCTGACATCAGAGGTGATTTTGTAGTGTTAAAATGATCAGGAAACAGTTATCTTTTTCATTTCCACAGAGGAAATGCTGTCCTCAAATAATGCCCTATGGTGGTCACCAAACGGAAAATTTTTTGCCTATGGAGAATTCAATGATATACATGTTCCACTTATAGAGTATTCATTTTATGGTGATGGACAGTATCCCGAAACCATTCAGATTCCATACCCAAAGGTACAGTTTCTGTTTAAATTTTATTTAAATGCTACATTTAATAGGGAGAAAAATTCCCTCCATGCTCCTGGGCACAAACACTGGTGGGGAATTTCAGAGAGTTTAGCCAGTGAGATCTAGTATTGTTAGTATTTTGCTCATCTAGCTGGAACTGGGAATCTGCTGGCTCTTCATTAACTAACTCTACCCTTTCACAGCACATTATATTCAGATAGTACTTGAGGTTGTACCCTTCTCCTCCAGTAGAGAGAAAAGGTTTTGGAGTAGAGTCATAGAGATATACGGCACAAAAACAGAACCTTTGGTCCAACTCATCCATGCCAACCAGATATACTAAATTAATCTAGTCCCATTTGCTAGCTTTTGGCCCATATCCCTTCCTATTCATATACCCATCCTATTCATATACCCATCCAGCTGCCTTTCAAATGTTATTAGACCAGCCACCACTACTTCCTCTGGGAGCTCATTCCATAGATGCACCACCCTCTGCATGAAAAAGTTGCCCCTTAGGGCCCTTTTAAATCTTGCCCGTCTCACCTTAAACCTATGCCCTTTAGTTTTGGACTCTCTTACCCTTGGGAAAAGACCTTGACTATTCATGCTATGTAAGTTTTATAAAACTTCCATAAGGTCCCCCCTCTGCTTCCGATGCTCCAGGGAAAATAAACCCTGCCTATTCAGCCTCCCCCTTTCCACTGAACGCTGAACAGTTATTTTGAGAAGGCTTGAGTCGAGCTAAGATTTTGAGTTTAAGCTTTGTTGTTCCTATGGTGAACTTGATCATGGGAAATGGGGGCTGAGGTGACGTTTAATCGGGTGAGGATTCTACTGCCTTGCAACCACCTCTATTAAATGTGTTGCGAGAAGGCCTGAGAATAACCAAGCACCACACTTTCAATTTGACTCTGTAAGTGCCTCCATCCTGGAATTAATCCATGGGAAGAACACACTGATCTTTCAGCATTGCCTTTCGATTCTGGATGTTGGGAAGAGGAAGATTGGTGGGGAAGAGCCGTCATCTTTCATTCAACTCAGTGCCTGCTGAAAACTAATCAGAGCCACTGAGAGCCCGAGTTTGCAGCCCTTGTCTGAGGCTCCTCCCATTATTACTTCTTGACTGGGATCCAGCAATGATAGTTACCATTAAGTAAAGCAGGCACCACCTCTCTGTGAGGGATGCTTCTGACCCCACAATTCTTAATCCTGGGCCAAAGCCTGCTGCAGGTCTGTCAATTGTTAGACTGACACATCGACCACAATACTTGGGAATTCTCGAAAAATGGTGACATGGAGCTATTGCCAACTCTCAGGCCTGTGGCCAAGGAACCATTTACCTCCACAAAATTCCATCCTTTCAATGAGAGCCTTCGTTTTGGTCTTTGGGAACACTGCTCATTTAAGGTTGCTCACTGTGCCTTCCTTTGCAGCATGCTTTACTTACACTTAACAGACTCACTCCTGTGGGAGCAATCTTAACGTGAACTATGTGTGTGTACATATAATGTGCCTCAACCTAGAATATGGATCAGAATTGGGACCAATTTGAAACCGTAAGCAAAAGTCCCCAGTTGCTGGTGCTGCAATCCAAAAAAATTCTGTCCCCTTTGATATTGAACCTTATTTTTGCAAATAATTTAAGATGTAGGTTTGTCCTGTCAATTAAGAAAGAAATGCTTTATAAAATGCATATTGAGGAACATTCTTCATGACATAAACTGAATTAGGATATAAATTTGTGCAATACAAGGTATTTGTGCAAAATGTTTCTAACAGTTATTATATTGCAGAAAATGGCTATATTTTCTAAACGTGTGCCAGGAACAGCAAGGAACTACATTGCCGACATGCATGTGTAAAATTTAGGACAATATTTGTTGTCTAAACAATATTTTTCCCTTAAATTAGGCTGGTGCTAATGCTTCTACTGTGAGGTTATTTGTTGTAAATGTTGAAAATACAAGCCATCAAGAACTTGCAGCTCCACAAGAATTTCTTTCAAGGTACACCTCTACTTCTCTCTCTCTCCCTATTGTTTCTCAGAAGTGAGTTTTCTTTAAAATTAGCCTACATAGCAAATGTCAGAAAGCTATTTGACTGTGGTGAATGTGGCAGCCAAACACATTAGATTCCTTGTAAATTGTCCTCATATGAAATTTCCTTGCATTGACTCCTCCTTGCCGTCACCTTGTGATATTTCTTGATCAGAGATCTTGTGCCAGTCGTACTGAGTGTTACCAATGTAATTTTGCTATTCAAGAATCAAGAAATGGATAAATCAGGTAACTGTGAAACAAGCATCACATTAGCAGGCTTGGTGGGCCTAAGGGCCTGTTCCTGTGCTGTAATTTTCTTTGTTCCAGTACTGGGAACCCTTCTAGAGGCAATGGGTTAATTTTCTGTTCCCACTCTGGCTGGCAATAGGATGGAGCAAAATGGAAGTCAACAACGAACTCCTATGGTAGTCCCAGGAGTGATGCTGCTAGGGCTAGAGAGCTGCTGGCCCATTCTGAGGCAAATCTTTTTGCTGAATGAGGAGCAGAAGGAGTGCTCCAGTCAGTTAATGCTGCGTAAACCATTGAATGACTGCATTTGGCTCAATGGATCACGCAAGTAATTTCACAGATAAAATATCAGAGTTGATTATTTATCAAAAGTAACTTAATGCATGATATATAGTGTTTCAATATTGAGTTTGGTGACATTAGTGTCAAATGTAGTTTCCATTCTGGCCAGCTGATGTTCATATTGTATATGTCAGAATATTTTCAGTATTTTTTTTAACACTTTCAGTGAGTATTATCTAAGTGCAGTAAAGTGGGTAACAGATCACCGAATCTCTGTGCAATGGATTGAACGAAGACAAAATCATGCCATTTTAACAATATGTGATTTTGAGACATCCAACATTTGGAGTTGTAAAAAGGTAACTAGTATCAAGTACCATGTTTAAAATATTCTCATTTGCGATAATTTGTATTTCAATGCATAGTCATTTTAAAACATTGTTAATTCTGAATATTTGTTCTCTTATACCAGGATCTTCAGTTTGCTGAAAAGAGTACAACGGGATGGATTGGTGTTGTATGTAGTGCTGTTTAAATTACTGTTTCTCTGAAAGTTTAAATATTAGAATCCTTGGATAGAAATTCTTCTTGTGTGGTGGTACTAAAAAGGGGATATTGGATAAGGCACTTCCTATTTAATGCCATTAACTATAATTGAACCTGATTTTAGACACGATGTAGAATGAGTGGCTGACCTGATACTTGCCTTTTTCGTCAACCTCAAACTTCGATTCTCCTTCACTTATGTATGCTTTCTCTACTATTTCACTTTGTCTTGTAAATTCTTATTCTTATAATGGAAATGGATCAGAATGTAATTGTATTCTTCGATCAGTGGGTATAATGAAGCGCTGCCAATAATTCTTAAATATGGGTTAGTAATTTATAATAGTAAAAATATATAATATATAATTTATAATAGACCAAATATATTAGGTAGTTGTTTAGTAGTACAAACTTGAATGTTGCTTAGAAAAGACTAATTTTGCCAAAGCTTTTCATTTTGTACTCGTCAGGACATTTCACAAGAATATTAATTAAAGCGGAAAATCAACACTTCTCTCATGCAGTATTTGATAAGACTGATTGGCTAGCAATTGGTTTCTGACTGGTAGAAGTGTTGGTATGGAGAACGCGCCCATTAATACTTATTGACAGTTAATTGACAAGCTCTGTTTAAGTTTTAAACTAGGCAGGGCAACTTTGACTGGTGGTGGAGGCAGGTTCAAAAGGCTAAGGTGAGAGGGTTATAGGAAGTGGATGATCTGGTAAGATGGGTGCTTCTGATGGACACAGGCCTACAATAGATGCTCCTCTCTGCTATCCTTGCACAGCGCCAGTGCATGCATCTGAAGCTGCTAGGCTTCCTGACTGCCATTTAAGGAACATGGGTGGGCCGATGGGCCAAGCAGTGGCAGATGGAGTTTGATTTAGATAAATGTGAGCTTTGTATTTTGTTAAGGCAAACCAGGGCAGGACTTATACAGTCAATGGTAGGGTCCTGGGGAGTGTTGCTGAACAAAGAGACATTGGGGTGCACATTCTTAGTTCCTTGAAAGTGAAGTCACAGGCAGACAGGGTAGTGAAGAAGGTGTTTGGTACACTTGCCTTTATTGTCCACTATAGGAATTGGGAGGTCATGTTGTGGCTGTCCAGGACATTGGTTAGGCCACTTTTGGAATACTGCATTTAATTCTCGCTTCGCTGCAATAGGAAAGATGTTATTAAACTTAAAAGAGTGCAGAAAAGATTTAAAAAGATGTTGCTGGTGTTGGAGGGTTTGAGCTATAGGGAGAGGCTGAATAGACTGTGTCTATTTTCGCTGGAGCATCAGAGGTTGAGGGCTGACCTTATAGAAGTTATGGAAATCAGGAGGGGCATAGATAGGGCGAATTGCCAAAGTATTTTTCCCAGGGAAGGGGAGACCAAAACTAGAGAGCATTAGATTAAGGTGAGAAGTGAAAGACTTAAAAGGGACCTAAGGGGCAACGTTTTCATGGAGAAAGTGGTGCATGTATGGAATGAGTTGCCAGAGGAAGTGGTGGAGGCTGGTACATTTACAATATTTAAAAGGCATCTAGATGGGCACATGAATAGGAATGGTTTGGAGGCATACGGACCAAATGCTGGCAAAGGGATTAGAGTAATTTAGGATATCTGGTCAGCATGTATTAGTTAGACCGAAGGATCAGTTCCCGTGCTGTCCAACTCTATGATGCTATAATCTAACAGGTAACAAAACTGACAATGCTGTTACAGAAAAATAATATTTTTCAGTGGTAATAAAGGAGGAAAATGAATATATGCTGAGTTGCAAACTTTGAAATAAAAATAATAAATAAAGTGAAAGAAACTTTGAAATATACTTACCAGCTGTCAATGTATTTTTAATTATTCAATTCATAAAAATAATTTAGAAAAAAACTAACATGTTGGATTTCTAGTATTCTGATGCTGATTATTTGAAAATTGCAGTTTCACACATCAGACCCATTCTTTGAAGCAAACAACATTAGTTTCTACAAGGTATTTAGTGACGCGAAAGGATATAAGCATATCCACAGAGTTGCTGGAAATTCGGTAAGTATGCAACAGTCTTTTGATGAAATATTTAAAGGGATTTTAAAGCTTTTCCATACTCTTTCAGTTTAACATCCCTCCATTTTTGTCTGAAGCCTGAAGCAAAACAAATTACAAGTGGAAACTGGGAAGTCATAAACATTGTAACTCTAACAGAGGATACCCTGTAAGTATATAGAGAATACATTTAAAATACTATTGCTAGAATGTGGAACATATTAGGTTTTACCCCATGATCTTTTAATAAGTAAACATATTTGATAGAGTCTGTTGTAATATTTTTTCCCGTATGTAGTTCAACCTATTGATTACCACACTGCTGAATGTAAATCATTGATCACCACAGGAACTGATGCAAATCAATATATGGTGTAGTAGTTGGAGAAATGTTTGTCAGCATTTAAATGTACGATGAGCTCTCCTGGAATCCTACTATTCTTCAAATGAAAAAAACCCATAATCTGCCAATCAATGTCATAGAGTTTAGTTCATTTGTGCCAATAACACAACAAAGTGTAAAAATAAGATGGACTGGATTTATTATTCTTTCTCTCAGTTAGGTCAGATGCTAGTACAATACTGTACTAGGAACTGTACAAGTCAGCAATGTTATTTTGTTTTTATGTTTATCAGTAACAACTCCCAGAAGGTGTTGATATTATCGCCATTAGATTAGGCGACACCATAGTGTTGACCTTGACAATATTATTATCAACTTTAGATTACTTTCCCAAAAATATATTTTAAGCTCTTAAAAACATTGCCTGATATTGTTTTTTAAATTCAGCATGTAGCAATTTAAAGTACTTTTCTTAATTTCTGTTTCATCTGAACAGTTAACACCAAATCAACTGTAAACTTTTCATATGGTCACTGACCCCATCATTCAAAATGTAATCTTGTATAAGTGCACATTTACCAGGTTGACCTGTGTTGAGCACTGGTCAGTAATAATCCCGACATACTTTGCATTGTCATGTAGTCTAGGCATTGCTAGCTGTCTGTGTTTTGGATGTAACTAACATGAAAAGTGTTTTATCTAGCACAAAGTTCTTGTAAGGTCTAACGTTATTGCTTGTGATGTTTTCCAGTCAAACCTAGTTATGTCACATGTTCCTGTCCAGATTTTTTGACCTATGATTGACCTATTAAATCTAGGTTACCAAGGTGGTCTGTTGCATGTTTCCCTCTAAAACTCCCAATTCCATCAGGAGTGTGAGTGTTCCTTTGCCCCATTTCATTTTTTAAAATAAAAAATATATCCATTTCAGCTTTAACATCAACAATTGATCCAGCAGCAGTTGTCTTTTGTGGGTCAAAGTTCCACCCTCAGTGTCTACGAAGAGCTGCTTCATGATTTTATCCTCCGGCTCTATTTTTTTCTTGACCTATTATGACCATGTTATGACCCTATTTGACCATATTATGTCCTAATCCCAGATTTGCCAATAGCAGAAATAATTTCACCCAATAGACTCATCTGACAGCATCCTCTCAACACAGAATATTTCATATTCTGTTAAATTTCACTTGTGATCTATATGGCACAGATATTAAGCAGGAGTCATGACTGTCTCTTAATGTGGAAAGATTAACTTTCATAGAATTATCCTGGTGTTTTGGCAGAAGAAATCATTTGACTTGCCACCTCAACTCCCAAATGATGAGAGGAATAATTGAGAAGCATGTTGATCCAGTGCATTTGCAGATACCTTTGTATGTGCCTGAGCATGGCACAAAATTTCAGTGAAAACGTAATCACTAAAGTTCTCTTCCAATGCTCTGCCCCTGTTAACAATTCCATTTTATTTGTAGGCCTTTTTACAATCCTTAACTAAAATACAAAGATTTTCAATCCAGTTTACCTTAAATGTCCTGTGCAGCATTGTATATTCTATCTTCTATCTTCAGTATCTAGCTTTTTCTTAAATAATTTTTATTTTAGTATAATTTTTATTAAAATTTATCTTTATATTGAGTTTTCAAAAGAGTATATGTCTACCTTACCTTTCATAGTCAATTCAATAATATTATTTTCAAAGGATTTGTCAAACTTTTTGCTTATTTGGAAATTGCCAACATTTAAATGTGACAATTTATCCTGTAGGCACTGAAGAATATATAATGTTTTACTTGACAAATGTCTCTCTTATTTCACTAATACTCAAATTCTATAATAACAAATGATTATTAATACTCCTATTTTTGATTATTTATTTTACATCCTAAGAATATTAAACATTTTGTTTGCATTACAGTTACTATATTAGCAATGAATATCAACAGTATCCAGGGCGAAGAAACTTATATAAGTAAGTTGTAGATATAATATATGCATTATTTTTGAAACAGTTATATACTGTAACCTCTTTAGTCTAGAAATCTTTCATTTAGAAACTTCAGTTTTCTGGAAGCTTTGTAAATAGAACCAAACATTTCTGTACAGTACTTTGTGAGCAGAAACATGGAAGATACATTACTTAGATAATTAAAACAATTTTTAAACCAACCTTAAAATGTTTTAACACTACATAATGTACACCAATATCCAAGTGGCAAATTAGGCAGCAAATGACTTTCTGAGAATTATAAAGATTTATTGTAGATCTATAGTCCAGCATAATCTTAAATTTCCGTATTTCTTTTCTGGACCCTTTATCCATCTAGCAACCAACACGCCAACAGGGAAGAATTTGGCTCTTAGATGTTTCTAACCAACCTGTTCAGAGATGTTATCACAAAGTTTCCTAGCTCAGAGGTAGAGACTCTATGACTGCACCACAAAAACCTCAGAACTCAGCTTTTTCCTGAAAAAAAAATCTACTCAGTCTGTTCAGAAATGTTATATCACACCTTGAACCTCAGAGTCCTGACTCAAAGGTCAGGACACTTCCACCATACCACATGAACCCCAAGAACTCTGCTGTTAACCTGTCTTTCTAATCGACCTGCTCAGAGATGTTATTACACACCTCTGGAGCAGGTGGACTTGAACCCAGGTATCCCAGTTCAGGAGTAGGGACACTACTGCTGCCTCACAAGAGGCCCAAGATCTCTGCTGTTAGAAGAGTCGAATGAGCATCACCTGCTCGTTTGGCTGTCACAACAATTAACACTGCTGCCTCACAATGCCAGGGACCCAGGTTCAATTCCAGCCTTAGTGATTATCAGTGTGGAGTTTGCATGTTCTTCCCGTGTCCACATGGGTTTCCGCCAGGTGCTCCGGTTTCCTCCCACAGTCCAAAAATGTGCAGATTAGGTGGATTGCCCATGCTAAATTGCCCAAAGTGCCCAGGAATATGCCGGTTAGATGGATTAGCCCAGGTAAAATGTGAGCTTATGAGGATAGGCTATGGAGGCTTGAGCTGGGTGGATGCTGGTCAGAAGGTCAATGTGGACTAGTTGGGCCAAATGGCATCTTTCCACACTAGGGATTCTATGATTCTATGTTTTTTTTCAACTCTGGAGCAGTTCTGTTTGAGTCTTAGAGGGCTGTTTGAGGCTATAACAAACAGGGCTGATGAAGGAGATCAGGATTGTACTGTATTTGGATTTTCTGATGTCCTTCAATAAGGTGCCGCACAAAAGGTTATTGCACACGATAGGATCTCGCGCAATGTGCTTGGGGGAGGTATGGTATTGAATTATCATGTACTGAGGATTGGTTAGCATACAGAAGACAGTCAGGATTAATTAGCTTTTTTCAGTTTAGAAAGACATAACTTGTGGAATGCCAAAAAGATAAGTTCTTTGGGCTCAATTATTTACTATCTATGTTAATTACGTGGAGGAAGGGGCAAAGTGAAATGTATCCAAATTTGCTGATGATACAAAGATAGATGGAGTGGCATGTTATAATGAGGATAGAAGGAACCTGCCAGGGGTTTTAGATAGGTTGAAGAAATGTGCAAAAAACTGGCAAATGGAGGTTAATATAGGAAATTGTGTGATCATGCAGTTTGGTTGGAAGAATCAATAGGCAGACATTTATAAAAATGGAGCGAGACTCAACAACATGCAGTGCAGAGGAATCTAGGTGTCCTTGTGTATGACAATACTGTGGCTTTAAGAGTTGTAATTTGTCCTGGCTCTTTTTATGAAGAATGGTTGACACAGAGGCACTGAGCAGTCTGCTCCAAAGCCAATCAAGTAAAGCTTGTGAGGCCTTCGGTTTTTTTTTAAGTTGGAACAATAGAAGCAGCCTGAATGGGTGCAGTCAAGCTCCTACAGAACCAGTTTTTTTTGTTAGGTTTAGACTTCAGTAGCAGTTCCTGGGATTTTGAAATTGGATGTGGAAATTCTTATTCCTGTCTCTGTTATAGCTAAAAGGTGGGGTTCTCTTCCTGCTGCTAGAATTCCATGTGAGACAATCTATTTTACTGATTTGTCTTTGACAAGGGTTTGTTTATGGGATGTTAATAAATTGGAACAGTGAATTAGTAGTAGTTTATATGTATAGTTTGTAAGTGTTTCAATAGAGTCACCATTAAGCTAATACTTTTATTTTTATTTTGTCTATATTTTAATTATAGTGTACAAATAAAGTGTATTTTGTTTCAAGCCTGGTTGTTTGACCAATTGAATTGCATCCAGAACACAATGCTTTACACTTACTTTTAAAATGAGAAAAACTTAGGGTCTAGACTATCTTCTTAATGTATTTTGAGGGGATTTGGTCTGACCCATATGCATGAAACACAAAATGTTAATATGCAGGGTGCAGTAAGTAATTAAGAAGGCAAATAGAACTTTTTAAAACAGGGATGTCTTGCTACAACTGTATAGGCTGTTGGTAAGTCTGCACCTGGAGTATTGTGAACAGTTTTGATCCCCTTATTTAAAAAGGATATGTTGCATTGGAATCTGTTCAAAAGTGGTTCACCAGGATGAAACCTGGAATGAAGGGATTGTCTTATCAAAAACTGTTTTAACAGTTTTAGTTTTCACTTATTCGAACTTAAAAGAATGAGGGGCGATCTTATTGAAACATACAAGATTCTGAGGGCTGTTGACACAGTAGATGTCGAAGCTGTCTCTACTAATGGGGTTACCTCAAACTAGGGGTCATTGCTACAGAATAACGTGACCCTTATTTAAAACTGCCATGGAGTTGAACTGAAGGAATTTCTTCTTCCAGAGGTTAGTGAGCATCTGGAATTTTCTACCACAGAGAGTTGTGGTGGCTAGATCACTAAAGGTATTTAAAGAGGAAGTAAATAAAGTTTTGAAATTTCAGAGAATTGATGGCAATCAAAGAGGGGTTTAGGCCTGGGGTAGATTAGTCATGATCTTGTTGAATGGCGAGGCAGATCTGATGGGCTGAATAGCCTACTCCTGCTCCTATTTATGATCTTAATCCTCTTGTTATTCAACTTCCTTTAGGATATCTTTTAATATCTTTAATATCATGTGGTAAGTGAGATGGCAGTGGCGGGGTAGACAGCATTCAGCTCCTGAACCTGGGGATTGTCTGCTTCCGGGCACCATGGAGCCGGCACAGTGCAAAGGAGTCAGCCACATCCACTCCCTTTTTCAATCTTTTTGTCATTACTGTTACTTTTGATGGGCTTGGTCTTGACAGCAGTGGCAGTGGAGGCAGGCAGCATTGGAGGTGGATGACGTGCCCCGATCCAAGACCCCACCAAGCCCAACCCAGGACTCAGACACAGCCAACACAGTGGACGTGTGGGTCAAGGCCACAGCAGGTCGAGGTTCCATGGCCCAGCCGATTTTCCAGTGTCGGGAGAGATATACCAGGGAGATCAGGAGCTGAGCCCTTAGATGGTCGTCATCAGCTGGAGAGAACTTTTCACTGTATTCTGGTACATGTTGATATTCGGGAACACCACCACCTCCAAGTTCCCCTCCAAGTCACTCACCATGCTGACTTGGAAATATATCGCCGTTCCTTCACTGTCGCTGGGTCAAAATCCTGGAATTCCCTCCCTAATGGCATTGTGGGTCAACCCACAGCAGGAGGACTGCAGCGGCTCAGGAAGGCAGCTCACCACCACCTTCTCAAGGGCAACTAGGGATGGGCAAGAAATGCTGGCCAGCCAGTGACGCCCACATCCCACAAATGAATAGAAAAAAAATGTGACAATAAATGTAATCTAATCCAATACTTAGATTTAGTAGATATTAGTTCCATTGATTTTTAGTTATCTGTTTAATATTGCTCATCTTTTTAAAGATAGAAACAATATTGACTATTATGAATTCTCTGATATTCCTGACACTTCTGAAAATTTTTGAAAGGTCATTAGTGAATTCATAGCTATTCTTCAAATAAACTTAAATTCCTTTTTTTTCTGGTTCCTAAACTTCCTTCAACTTTTTTTTTATATAGGATTAAAATTGGAACAAGTTCTCAGAAGCCTCAATGCATTACCTGTGAACTTATGGCGGAACGCTGTCAGTATTATTCTGCATACTTCAGCAGAAATGGAAAATATTACATGCTATCCTGTTATGGTAAGTGAACTACAGAAACTAACTTTTGAAAATAAAGTAGAGGATGGCTTTCATGTCTTCTCTTTATTCTACACAGGTCCTGGATTACCTATCTTTACACTTGTTAATGCTACCAATGATGAAGGTAATCACTATTTTACTAGCTCTTAACATGAATTGATCATATTTTAAAACGTGTATGTTAACTATCTGACAGAGCCCCTACTCTTCATTTAATGAAAATGTCTAATTTCATTGTTTATACAGAGAGCTGATTTAATGAGTTGAGCAAAAGTGATCATCTAATTTGAAGCCATAATGGCTTTGTCTCGAACATGAAAGCCACAGAAACGTTGAGCAGAATTTAATGGTCTCCATCCCAAGGTGATTTCAGAGGTTGGATCAGGGTGGGCATTTGATTGAGTGGAAGGTTGAGGTTCTTCACCACAACCAAGCTCAAGGTGAATGAATTGGAAAGCAGTCTACCCATGGGGAGGCCTCTAAAGAGCTATTTAAAGGTTGCACTCATACACTTCATTCTCTACCTGTTAGTATTTAAAGTCAGAAGTCACACAACACCTGTTTGTAGTCCGGATTACCTTACAAAGGAGCAGTGCTTCGTAAGCTTGTGATTTCAAATAAAGCTGTTGAACTATAACCTGGTGTGATGTGACTTCTGACTGTGTCCATCCCAGTGCAACACCGGCACCTCCACATCAAGGCTGCTGGTATTCATGCATTAGCAAGCCAAGAACTCTCATCCAGGTTAACTGTTCAGCAACTTGTCAGTTTTTGTTGCAGCCTTGTGAGGCGGGTGGGTAATGGGGTTACATCCTCCTTCCCATACATTCTGCTTGTTAGAGGGAATTGATATGAGGAAGGGATGGGTCATGCACAAAACCATCATCACCTCTCATCGCAGTTACCCTGGCAGGTAATTGCTTCGTCGGAACCCCTGGAGATCTATCGGCCACTTATTGGCTGGCAAGCTCTCATTGGGAGGATTGCCGCCGTACTGGGGCCTTGATAGTGACAGTCTTTCTAACTGTGCAGGTAGGTGTTGGATTACTGTGAAATAGCATTGCCTCTGAAGCAACCCAGGATTCCCGTGGGTTCCACTGCACAAATAATATTCCAACCCCACTTTCAGGGTCGTGGCTACTATTTGGAGATATCTGATTGGAGATGTCAAAGATAATTTTTTAAAATGTTGACTTTCACAACAAGAAATAAATAAAAAGTGTAGATTTCAAGTGAACAAATGTATCTTTTTAGCTTTAATTGTGTCAGCATCACAGATTAATATCCATACTCTGAAAGATTACTGACCTAAATTTTTTCTTACGAACATGAGACTATTACTGATCAAATTTCCTTATTTTTTAAATATTGACTTTTGCATTTAAATTTACCATCAGTGTCCCATTGCTGTCCATTTTTGAGTGGCCTCACTGTACTTCATTACAGTGTTTACAGCAAAGTTAGATTTCTGTTAGTCAGGGAAAAGTCACATTCAAAAATTTAACATACTGACCAGTGGAAAATTTCACATTACAATGCGCACACTATGGCATCACAGAACAGTTGCATTAATACTTAGAAAGAAGGCAGTCTGTATTACATCTAATTTTGCTTCTACTGTCTGCCATGTGATGTAAAAACATGCTTTATTATGGAATCTGCATTATGTTTTGATAAACTAGATTATTTGTTATTGTAATTAATTTCTGAGCTGTACATCTAGTTTCTTTTGGCTGTTAACTAAACCTTGATTGATGACTGTTAGGGTGAATATTGTCTGGGGAACTAAAGGGTTCTCTTTTTATTTCAAGTGATAAAAACTCTTGAAGACAACAAAGAATTGGAAAAGGATCTTCAGAATATACAAATGCCAAGAAAGATTCTCGAAGTTTTAGAACTAGATGGCACAAGTAAGTTTAATTATTGTGCAGAAAATGTTTTGTTTTAAAACTCTTCAGTGTTACCAATATAATTTTTCACTAAGATCCAGTTGTGTGCTGGCAATGATTTTCACTTCCAATGTATGAAGCATTTGCAGCTAAGCAATGTTCCTGCTAAATTTGTGTGTGAATATTGAACAGTTTGAACAAAGATTCAGCATGGGCAGCTTGAGCTACATGGGTTTCTGTGGTGTTTCAGCATTTTATCATTCTAGATTGAAAATTAGATGGTAAAAGAAACACTATCCTTTTTTTGAAGAATTGGGAAAAGTACATAATCTTAAAATTGGTGCGAGGACATCTTAGTGTCATTTGCAAAATTGTTTTAACGAAAAGCGTAGAGGAAGTGTGAAATTTGGTCTCCAGAAGGCAACTGAGGTTAGGACAATTGAAACTACTAGAGTTTTTTTGTTAATTTGGAGTATGAAGGGATATACAATCACCTGCAATATCAGTCAACTTTTAGTCTTTGCCTGTCCTGGCCGACCCATTGTCTCTGCCTGCTCCTGCCCCACTGAACTTATCTCCACTTACCTTAGATAACAAGAGCTGGATGAACACAGCAGGCCAAGCAGCATTAGAGGAGCAGGAAGGCTGATGTTTCGGTCTAGGCCCGAAACGTCAGCTTTCCTGCTCCTCTGATGCTGCTTGGCCTGCTGTGTTCATCCAGCTCTTCATATCTCAGATTCTCCAGCATCTGCAGTTCCTACTATCCCTCCACTTACCTTGACTCTGTTTTCTCCCCACAGTCCAGGAACTCCCCACCTGCATCCTGGACACCACCCACACCCTCCTCCTCCTCCAATTCCCTGGCCCCCAAACACCTCATCTTCACTATGGACATCCAATCCCTATACACTTGTATTCCCCACGTGGATGGCCTAACAGCCTTCCCCTTCTTCCTCTCCCACAGGTCCAACCAGTCCCCCTACTGAGACCCTCATCCGCTTAACCAAACTCGTCCTTACCCTTAACAACTTCTCCTTTAACTCCTCCCACTTCCTACAGGCTAAGAAGGTGGCCATGGGGACCAGCATGGGCCCAAATTATGCTTGCCTCTTCGTAGGATACATGGAACAGTCCCTCTTCCTTTGCTACACTGGCACTATCCCCCACCTCTTCCTCTGCTGCATCGATGACTGTATTGGCCTGCCTCGTGCTCCCATGAGGAGCTTGAACAGTTCATCAACTTTACTAACACCTTTCACCCCAACCTCAATTTCACCTGGACCATCTCTGATACCACTCTTTCCTTCCTGGACCTCTCCGTCTCCATCTCTGGTGACCGCTTCAAAACTGAAGTCTATTTCAAGCCCACCGACTCCCACAGCTACCTCGACTACACCTCTTCTCACCCACCCTCCTGCAAGAATGCAATCCCATACTTCCAATTCGTCCGCCTCCGCTGCATCTGCTCCCAGGATGAGGCGTTCCACTCCCGAACATCCCAGATGTCCTCCTATTTCAAGGACTGCAACTTCCCCCCTTTGGTGGTCGAAAATGCTCTTGACTGCATCTCTTGCGTTTCCCGCACCTCTGCCCTCACATCTCCTCCCCGCAACACAAACAAAGACAGAATCTTCCTTGTCTTCACGTATCAACCCAATAACCCCCAGATTCAACATATCATTTTCCGCCACCTGCAATCTGACCCCACAACCAAAGATATATTCCCCCCATCCCCCACCCCTATCTGCCTTCACCTGCACATTTGTCAATGTGGTCTGTTGCATCTGCTGCTCCTGATGTGGCCTCCTGTACATCGGTGAGTCCAAGCAGAGGCTTGGAGACCGCTCTGTGGAGCACATGCACTCTGTTCATGACAAACGACAACACCTTCCAGTCATGAATCATTTCAACTCCCTCTCCCACTCCCACACCCACCTCCTGGGTGACATGTCCTTCCTGGGCCTCCTCCAGTGTCACAACGAGCCTACAGCCCAATGGCCTAAATGTGGATTTTACCAGTTTCAAAATCTCCCCACCTCTGGCTTCATCCCATGACCAACCCTCCCTCTCATCCCCACCTTCTTGACCTGACAGAACCTGACACAACCTGTCCATCTTCTCTCCCACCTATCCACTCCTCCCACCTCACTGACCAATCCCCATCACTGCCTATCCGCACTAACAGATCAGCATCCCATCTACCTTCCCCAGCCCCACCTCTTCTCTCTATTTATTTCAGAGCTACCTTCGCCCTCCCCCTGCTCCATTCCTGAAGAAGGATCCCGACCCGAACCATCAACTTTCCCGATCCTCTGATGCTGCCTGGCCTGCTGCGTTCCTCCAGCTCCACACTGTGTTATCTCTGACTCCAGCATCTGCAGTTCTTACTATCTCTGAGCATTGTATTGATATGTCTTAAGTATAATCATAATATCCAGTACACTTCTACGTTTACATCTTAAATATCTCAGAGATCATGCCATCAGAGTAAATCTTGCAAATTTTCATGATTGTAGGAATTTCTTTAATAATATTCTAAGCATCAACATTTCCTGTGTGTAAATTCTGGATTTGAAAGCTTAATTAAGTAATGGCGATCATGTTTAGCAACAGTTTGAATGCACTATAAAATGTTTTCCTGTCAACAATTTTTTATGTTAGTCAAGTCATTTTCTCAAATTTATAATCTGAGAACGTAGGTAGATTTTGAAGTTACAGCTATTTCATGTTAACATATAGCAACAGAATGTTACATAGTAGGGGCAAAAAGTAAAAGAAATAAGTTGCATACACTTACAATGGAAGCATAGTCATTTACTAGCACATCTAACATATCAATTCATATTCATCTTTCATTATGCAGCTTGAAAAGCTTTTAAGTAAAAGGGAAATTCACCATCGACACATGCGTTTTTATGATGTGATAAAAGATTAGGTTTTTCTTTTGCTGTACTTTGTAGCATTTTTTATGGCTTAATTAATCAGCATTGCTAATCTTAATCAGTTGTAAATCTGTCTCCCAGGTTGCCTTGTGCCACTAACCTCCACAATGTCCCTGATCAGCATTTTTTTTCTTTATTTGCTTGTGGGATGTGGGCGTTGCTGACTGGGCCAGCATTCATTGCCCATCCCTATTTGCCTTTGAGAAGGTGGTGGAGAGCCATCTTCTTGGACCATTGCAGTCCACGTGCTGTAGGTAGACCCGCAATGCCCTTAGAGAGGAAATTCCAGGATTTTGACCCAGCGACAGTGAAGGAACTGCAAAACATGACTTGCTTCTGTAGCCACTGTATTTATATGGCTAGTCCAGTTCAGTTTCTGGTCAATGTTAATCCTAGGATATTGATGGCAGGTGATTCAGTGATGATAATGCCATTAAAGGTCAAGGATCAGTAGTTAAATGGTCTCTTTTTGGAGCCTGTGATTTCTGTGCCTTCCCCGAGCCCATTTAGACTGTAAATGTAGGCAAATGTAATCCAGTTTGGGAATGATTTGGTGACATGATGCACGAGCAGTGCTTTAAGGGAAATCTGTGAAATGCATTTTGGTTTTCAGTGGAATATGGGATGAAGATCAGAAATTAAGTGGCCATTCAGTGGGAAGCAGCCAATTAGAGTTGAAAAGAGGTAACTCCAGACCCAAATTGGGACTGTAGCCCAAGTATCATGTGGCAAAAGGGTAACACCCAAAATAGAAAGTCGGTCATTGTTACAAAGCTAAGGCCGCCTGCTCTCTGAAGTCCTCTCTTTGTATGCAAGTCTTTAAAAAGCTTTTTAAAAATGTCTAAAAACAACCTGTTGCCACCTTCACCAGCAAAATTGGTGAATACATTCAGCCACTGTCCTGGTAGCAGATCCTTTCATCTGTCCTTATGTTTCTTCATCATAACTGCTGTGAAACACTCCTGAACATTTTCACATGCAATGAAAATTAGTGGACAATTTGTTGTGGATTGCTAACAAGTTTCTCATATGGATATCTCACGATCCCTCCCCTTCTAATTCCTCTTTAAAATAAGGCTTTCAATGGAATTTTCCCAGCCCTTTAAGCAGCATCAGTAATGGCAAGAAATTTAGGAGAATACAGCAAGAGTGTAAAAGTGAGAGTCCTAACATCGCGCAAAAAGAATGTGAATTTCTCCTTGAGGTTTCAACAGCTAGGTAAAAGATTATCTTATAATAAATGGCAAGGGCCTTGTTTTCATGCATTTGCATGTTGTTTTAGCTAATCTTGCCTCATTTCTGTGTAGTTCCAGATTCTCTTAGTTACTGGTGAGAAATTAGACAGCATTAATTCCCATCTTGCCTGATACGTAAGGCTGGCCAGTTGCTTTTCCAGTCCTTTCCATTCACCTTCCTTCACCGATATCTCCTGGCATGGTCCATTTGCAGCAACCACCTCCAACCTCTGACCACAGAGTTGGCAAAAGCCAGAAACCAGATCATCGTGACCAGTCTTGGATTAATTCAGGAGACACTTCAGGACTTAGCTCCTGCACTTTGGAGTTCACTAACACCTTACATTGCAATACTTCTGCCAGGTCACCGTTTTGGCAGGGACACACACATATCTTGTTCATCTGAACAGAATGCATCTCAGGGCTCCCAGCTTGCTTTCTCAGCACAATCACTTTGAGCTTACTTGAGCGTTCACAGGATCTCTGCCTTGCCTTGCTTCTTCATGCAGACTGAAAGACAGGCAGCTTGTTATTATTACCACCATTGAACAGATAAGGCAGTGTTTCTGTGCGGCAACGTGTTACATCGATGTCAAAGCTACAGCATTTGCCAGTAGCTCACGGCAAGCACACTGAGTATGTGTCAACCGTTTGGTCATGTCTGAAAGTTTAAAAGGGAAGCAGACCTTTGTTGAGTGAAGGAGAAACTAGGATCAGTCAGGGGGTGCAGCCATCCTCAGTCAAAGGCATTGTCCAGTCTCAGTCCAGGGAGTTGGCCATGGTTAGTCCTGTGGTATTGAGCAGAAAAAGTTAAGGGGAGATAATCAGGCAATTTAAACATGCATACTGTACAAAAATGATTTTAAATAGGATTCTTAATATCCTGGCAGCAAGCAAATCTTTATTAACCTTTAACTGGCAAGAGTAGCTTACAGGAATGCACTATTTACAATGGATATACGCCCGATGTTGTAGATTCACAAAAAGAAGGGTGCCTTAATTAATCAATAAGGTGAGTGGTGGAGGACTGCATGAGCAAAGTTTGCTGTAGCCAGGAATCCTCCATGAAGCTTCCTGAAATCACTTAGTCAAAATATGGGAAAAATCCACTGCATTGCCTGTATAATGAATCGTATGCATCACTCATCATGTTTTCTTGAGCTTTTAAAATGAACAATTACATTAGTGTACAGCACAGAGTATTCACTTTAATAAGCAAATATTAAACACTGTAAAATGCTACATGCTTGTTACTTTATTCATTTGAAGTCTATTATTTGAATTGTCTCTTATGATTACAGAAGACTTTCAAAAGTAAATTAATTCAAGGGTAAAATGCAGCAACCAATGAAAGTGGCAAAAATGGTATTTGTTCTTGATTCACTGAAAACAACAGCTTGATAGGAAACTATAGCACACACTTCTGAAATATTCTGTTTGAAAATTGGTTAATGTTTAATACATAGGTTGAGAGCACTGATAAGAATTACAAATAAATGGCCCATGTGTACCTACAGGGAAGTGGTCGATCCATCATCAATATTTGCTTAAAGTGAGATGAGTAAGAAATAAAAAGTGACAATATTTTATCTATCATATTCCAAAACACATTGTGTTCTTTGTTAATGGCAATTGTGTTAAGTATACTGTTTTTTTCCAGATTATTGGTATCAGATGATACTCCCACCAAATTTTGATGAATCAAAAAAGTATCCTCTGCTTATCGATGTGTAAGTGTAATTCCAAAGTCTACTCCTCCCTAAAAAATTGATGAAAGCTATGACATTTGGCACAATGCATTCCTCTCTTCATATTTCTCCTAATGTTTCATTTGAACTACCAAAATAGTGTTGTCCCCTGAATGTAAGCTTAGGTTTGTACCATATATAAGCTAAGAGTTTCTTTCTAATAATAAAACGTCTAGTTTAACTTAATTACACAACACAAACAAGGTCTGACTCCATGCCCTTGATTTTAACACCACTGCTCAGTCAGGATGATGGGGGAGAGTACAAATGGAGCAGTGAACATGACTAATGTTTTGTTACCTGACTGGACACCTATGGACAACTTGTCAAGATCCCCTTTAAAGAAACAGATTGAGTTTCTGTAATGTCATCAGGGCCCAAACTGCTAGTTTAACTTGAGGCCTGAACAAGGGTAGACTAATGGTTATCTCTCCAAGCTAAACCTGATGGGAACTACAGCAAGAAATTAGTCCATCAAGGTAAGTTTTTAACACTTTATTTTCTTTCTTGTACAACAGAATTTAAAGTGCAGAAGGCGGCCATTTGGCCCATCATATCTGCCCCAACTCTCTGAATTAGTATAATTACCTACCACCACCAATCTCCTGCTTTTTACCATACCTTTGCACATTATTTGTATCCAAATAATCATCCAATAACTCCTTGAATGCCTTAGTTGATTCTGCTTCTACTACTCTTCCAGACAGCGCATTCTGACCCCAATTACATGCTGCATGGAAAGGCTGTTTCTCATATCGTATTTGCTCCTTTTGCAAACCACTTCAAATTTATGCCCTTTGGTTCTTGAACATGAAGGACATGAATGCTCCTTTTAGATCCCACATGAAAACCTTGTACCTTTCCCTCCCTGTTGACTTCTTTGTTAATTTAGCAAATGAGACATTAATGAAACATGGCCACTAAAATTGTTTGTGCAATTTCAGTGTTATCAGTACAATACAATTGCAAATTATATTGTATTCAAATGTGGTGGAGTTCTAACTTCTTCTAGTCTGTCTTGTAGCATTGTTGGATACAAGCATTAATTTACTCCATTTATAGATAATTTACTGATATCATGTTAATTTAAAGACTTGGAAATTTTGAAAAGAATTCAAAATCCTTAGATAGCAAACAAATTCCCTTGAATATCCACATTCAGCTAATAATCAAACCAAGAAAATCATTTAAATTATTAACTCAGATTTGTTGCTTTAAATAAATTTAATGTTGGCAAAGTATTTTGAACAATTGAATACCTAAGGGCATTTTCAGAAACTTTGTTCATACTGTTGTTGTGACATTTCTTTCAGGTATGGAGGACCAGGCAGTCAAAAAGTTGATGACCGCTTCTCAATTGACTGGGCGACTTATCTTGCCAGTACAGAGAGAGTTATTGTTGCCAGTTTTGATGGAAGGGGAAGCGCTTATCAAGGTGACAAAATAATGCATGCAATATATCGAAGGCTAGGAACTTATGAAGTGGATGATCAAATCAGTGCAACAAGGTGAACAATTAATTCAAGTTAATAATATTATGCATTATGATTCTGCTTTAAGTGTCATAATTTCTTGTAAGCTTTCTATAAATTTAAACTACTTATCATTTTGATGTTGAAGAAAATGTTGTAATATTAGCTTATCTGCTTGATGAAACTGAGCATTATTTTACTTCTTTGCAGAAAATTCATTGAAATGGGATTCATTGATGAGAAAAGAACAGCAATCTGGGGCTGGGTAAGTCATCAAAATTATTTTTGGTTAAAAAAAATCCTTTATTGGTATTTTGTATATTAGGACTAGTTTGCATCAAGTTAACAATAAAGCCAACATGAATTCCTGCAGCAATTTTAATTCAGGACATTTAGTTAGTCAAGATGGGTGTACCAAGTAAGTGAGGCAATTTTTACTCTCCCTTTTATTTTCTGGGCCTTGAGAGTGACTAATAGCAGGCTATTCAACGATAAAGGTAAGGCAGAAGTATTCAGATATATTTAGCCACTCCATGTGCACAGATAATTTTGAGGGTCACTGTATCATGATCAAAATGGGAATCCTGGCTATTTATTTTCTGCTGGAGGCCTCCTGCCATTTTAATGCACCAACTGTCACTCAGCAAAATCAGTTAATGTAGCACCGACTAGGGATGATGCAACCTATAACTTTCCTGAATAGCATAACATCAAGGCATTTTGGACATTGCAACTACTTGTGGAAACATTATCACTAGTTTAACAAAATAATGTTTTCAATTTTATTACATGCCAAAAGAAAGCTGTTAGATTAATTTGGAGTTTACTGCGGTAGGACACATGTTATCTTTGCATTTCTTTTTACATTGTTGGTTCCTGTTAGGATGGAAGCACATTAATATAGGATAAACATTGACAGAATTGAGGTATGACACAGAAGGAGACCAAAGCAAAATACTGCAGATGCTGGAAATGTGAAATGAGATCAAAGCACGATGGAGAGGTTCAGCACATCATTTAGCATCTGTGGAGAGAAACAGAGTTAGTGTTTCAGGTTGATGGCCTCACAGTAGAGCACGTTATACTTATCAAAAGTTATTGACCTGAAACAGTAACCTTGTCTCTCTCCATAGAAGAAGGTTATTTGGCAATCCTTATTATATTACCTCTTTCAAGAAGCAGTTGAGTTAGTTCTACTTTCCAGTCATTCTCCATGTCAAATTTTTTTTTCCTCTTTAAACATTATTTTTTAATTCCATCCCATTTTTAATGCTATTATTGAATTGGTATCCACCTGTATATCAGGCAACGAGTTCCATATGTTACACACTTATTGCATTAAAAACCTTTGCTCATGTACCCCTGATTCCTTTGATGTTCACCTCAAATCTGTAACCTATTGTTATCAACTCTGCAGCTATTGGACAGAGTTTCTCTTGATTTACTCTTTCTAAATCATAATGATTTTAAAATACCTCAATCATATGTCTGCTTTTCCTATTTTACTGTAAGGAGAGCAGTTGCAGTTGCTCCAGTCTCTCAGTGTAGCTGTAATCTCTTATCTCTGAAACCATTCTAGTGTATCTCTTTTGTGCACTATCCAAAGACTTCAATTTATTCCAAATGTCTGGTGTCCAGAAGTAGACATGAGTCTCCAGCTTAATTCATTTGTGAGTGTGCAGGCAATTTAATTATGGAGACCCAGGTTTTTTTTTGTCCACCCATGCATAACGAGAAGTTAAAAGCAGCCTCATGCGAGCCTTGCTTTGGACTTGCAGATTGCTGCACAACTAAAGCATAGAAGAACGTTGCTCCAGCTAGGGCCAAATGTATAAGCTTAACATAGTTTCATGGCTTTTATACTAAATATCTATAGTTATGAAATGTAGGATCTCATCTACAATTTAAACTGTTTTGTTAATCTTTGCACAGACACGCACAGGTCTCCCTGTTCTTTTAAAAAATGAAAAAACTGCGGATGTTGTAAATCAGGAACAAAAACAGAAGTTGCTGGAAAAGCTCAGCAGGTCTAGCAGCATCTGGGAAGAAAAAAACAGAGTTAACATTTCGGGTCCGGTGACCCTTCCTCAGAGCTTTTCCAGCAACTTCTGCTTTTGTTTCTCATTGTTCTTTTACCTCCTTTGAATTGTTCCAGTCAGCATTTATATTTTCCCCCTATTTTTCTGACAGAATGTATCATCCCTCACTTTTCTGGATTGTATTTCATCTTCCATGTATCTATCAAGTCCACCAATCAATGTCCTCATGAAGTCAGTTATTATCTTCCTCATTTTCTGCTTAATCTCATCTTAATTCAAAAGGCTGCATTTTCAAATAAGTGAGGCACTTATACAGTACCGTACATTTTCTACTTCTTCAAATTTGACACAAAGTCTCATCAGCAGTTGATTCAAGTTGGGGTTCTGGTTCTCTGACCTCAAATGACTCCATGTAATTCTGCTGTGCAAAACTAAGTCTTACGGAAGGTTTGCAAAAAATCTACCTCTTAACAAAGTCAAGTTTTCAAATGTAGTGCCATGCCAAATTTCTCTAGTTTGAGTGAGACTGTACTCAAACTGAGTTATCCAAATAAAATAACTTAGGGAAAAATTGATCTGCTCGTGGCTTTTATTTATGTTAGAGATAAGTGAGATCTGACCCCAGAAAATCATTATTCATGTCAACACAGTGGTCCAAGAAGTAGCTGTGACACTGTCATTCTGCATCAATCCACAATGCCTGCTTCATTTGGAGGAACAGAAACACTGGGGGCATTGGTCCTCAGACACCAAGATTATCTGCTTCCATGACTGCCGCCAGCCTCTTCAGAAAAATGGAGTTGCACTCAAGTTGAACTTTTTGAAATCAAAACTCTGCTGTTTTGAAAAATAACTTGCCCCAAAGTCTGATCAGTGCAACATTTTGACTACTGAAACTTCAGCATTTGGATATATGCAGCAGATCTATGAGCATTTATAAAAGCAAAAAAGTAGACAAATGGCTGGATTACAGAGTTTCTGTCTTTTTTAAAGTTATCTCAAATATACTAAGACAATAAGATGTAGGAGCAGAAGTAGGCCATTTAACCCATTGAATCTCTTCACCATTCAATGAGATGATGGATGACCCTCATAATCCTCAACTGCACTTCCCTGCCTTATCCCACAACCTTGATTCTCTGAATCAGAAATCTATCAATAGCGGTCTTGAATATACTTGACAATCCAGTCTCAAAAACCCTTTGTGGTAAAGAATTCCACAGATTCACTACCCACTGAGAAAAATGTCCCTCAGATCTGTCTTAAGCAGGTGACCCTTTACTTGCAGATTATGCCCCACAAAGAGGAACAACCTCTCTGCATCCACCCTGTCAAGCTTTCGAAGAATCTGTTGTTGTTTGAGAGTTTTGTTTGTCTCATCTGTCTTTGACAAATGTAAGGATTCACTGACTCATTTGCACTCAACCAATCAATATATGATAACTCAAATATGACCAATTGCTTTCATTCATCTTTAGTCTTATGGAGGATATGTCACATCAATGGTACTTGGAACTGGCAGTGAGGTGTTCAGATGTGGAATTGCGGTTGCCCCCGTGTCTAACTGGACATATTATGGTACGTTCTAATAATTTTTTAAAAAATCTTAATAATTTTTATGTGCCCAGTAAATATACATATACAATTAAAACTTGAATGAAGAATTGTGCCTGTACCTGGTGATGTAATCTACATCTGATCTCTCTGGTGACATCTGGTTAAGTGGTTAGTGCCAAAAAAAGAATCCATTTTCAATTTCCTTTGGTGATTTAACCAGATAAGGAGATATGATTGTATATTTCAATAAGGTTTCTGCAACCTACAAACTTAACAAAAGCTGATGATCTTCCAAAAGCAGCCCTGATTATAAGCTTATATTTTACAAAAACAAGCAATTACATGAATTTGCATTTTGAGCTGTATACCAAGCAGTTTTTCACTTGTTTTAAGATGGGGACATGGGAAACATCTTGCATGAAAGTTTTATCTTATTAAATGTCTGAATTTTGAAGGCAAAAAATTGATAGTGCATTCATGGGAAGATCAAAAGTTGTGGGGCAGAATTTCAGGGATGTGAGAGCTTGAAGGTGTGAGCTGCCAGCCCCAGCCTCCTCTACCTACCTGGCTGCAAATTCAAGCTCAGGTTGCCCTGTGCAGGGGTCCCCTGCCACACCTACAATGGTGGTCCTGCCGCTGCAGAGAAGACAGCTCAAGACAGAAGTAGCCTCTACTCAGCCCACCCGCTGGCCATTAATTGGCCAATTCAGAGAAAATCACGACTGGCTGATGGTTGTAATTCCCATTTGCCCTCCAAATTGAGCTGTCAATCCAAAGCCAAAATCCTGCCTGTGAACTCTTGAGAAATATGAATTTTGATATTTAACTCATGCATTCTATTAATTTTCAGAACTTTTATACTTTAACTGATGCGTTTTGTATCTTGGAATATGTAAAAGCCATGGGATATAACTTTTTAACGTGCTATTGCTTCTGAAAAGTAGTCTTAATGCAACTATCCTACTTCAACATGTCCACAATCACGTTATAGGTGCACCCTGTTTCGTTCGAACCTAGTTCACAGAAATGTAATACCTCATCCAATTTTCCCACTTTTCCTTTAAAGGCACTTTTTCTTTTTCCACAGCTTCAATTTCATATCAGATCCCATTTCCATCTATAATTTGATCTAGTGTTCTGCTTTTTCTCTGCTTAATTCAACCCTGCATGGATCTTCCATTTCCATTCAACTTCACTCATTTCCTCCCCAGCTCAATCTAGTACTTTTCTCTCTTCCCCCAATTGACTAACATTGTAATTGCATGTCCTTTACTGTAAAGTGAGATCACTCTGTCCTTCACATTTATCCCTAAAAATCAATATAAACTCTCATTATTTCTTTCTCCTTTTTTCTTAATCGAACCTGGTGTACTTCTCTCTCTCCTAAATCATGTGCCACTTAATATTTTCTTCATTTCAATTCAACTCTGGGATTTTCATACCTCCATCTGTGTAAAATGGAGATGGGGAAGATTTAAGAATCTAAGAATGGCTGATGAGACCTGTTTCTGTGATTCTCACCCTGGTTACACCTTGTAGGATTTTTATTTGCCCTGGATAAGAGTGAAGGTAGCAAGTGCTCACTCGGCAATCCTGCCTTTGCCTACTCCATTACAGGGGTTGGGATGTTAAACTCAATAATTTTGATGGAGTCATAGCGTCATACAGCACAGAAACAGACTTTTTGTTCCAACTTGTCCATACTGACCAGGTTTCCCAAACTAAACCAGTCCTATTTGTCTGCAGGAATTTCTGACGAAGGGTCACTCACCCCGAAACATTAACTATGAATTCTTTCCACAAATGCTGCCAGACCTGCTGAGCTTTTCCAGCAATTTGTCTTTTTGTTCCCTCTAAACCATTCTTATTCATGTGCCCATCCAAATGTCTTTTAACTGTTGTAACTGTGCCTGCAGCTACCACTTCCTCTAGCAGTTCATTTCATGTCCGTACCACCGTCTGTGTGAAAAAGTTGGCCCTCAGGTCCCTTTTTAAATCTCTTGCCTCTCACCTTAAAATTATACCCTCTGGTTTTGCAGGCCCTCAGAGGGGGCATGAGCCATTACGGTGCCTTGTCTAGAATCAGAAACCTTTTGACAGATAAGCCTAAACGTTGTTGCCAAACTCTCGTGTAATATTTAGAAGGTGCATGATAATTTTAAGTATGCTTTAATGCAGTCATTGATGACAGGACTTGTGTGGAGAATTTCTTCCCTCTTTTTCCAAGTGCAGCGGTGACCGTGTTACACGGTGACTAGCATGGCATCCCCACTCACAAGATACCCTGACCTATCAGCTGATTGAGAATTGGTAGGTAGCACATAGGTGAATTTCCAACCCTATCAGGCTTCTCGGCAGGTGTGACAAGTCTCTAGGAGCCGCTGGCTGGCAGGTTCTGGATCTTAAAAACCACAGACCAAAGTTTATTCCTGAGGGGATCTAATGGTGGGAAGATAAAAGATTTATATCCTAATGTCAGGGGTGATCAGATGGAGTTCGAAGCCAAGAAAGGGGATCTGGCTTTCAGAGGCCATCACCTTGTTCAATAGTTTGGGGCAATTTGTTCACTATGTGTTGGCCCAAAAGCCCTTAAAATAATACCAGCAATTTTGTTGATATACTCAAAAAAAGTCAATCAAACTGAGCCAACTGTCCTCTGTTGAAGAAATCTTTAATATTCTTAACAGCTCTCACTCATCCAAATGAACAAATGGGGCACTGAATCAAACATTTCAAACAAAGATTGAGTCAATGCAAGCCCTTATAACTGTCAAGGTAAATTCAAAATCCACTTTAGTGCTGTGTAAATAAGCTTTATCTGAGGTGGGTCTAATAGTGGGTTTGGAGCTCTTTAAAAAAATTTGTGGTAGCTTTCATTTTGCCAATAAAATCTCTAAGACTGAACATCTTGAAAGCTTTGAAGAAGACTGAACTGATGGCCAACTAATGAGTTATATGGTTGCCTGCTTTGATTGGTAGGTTAGCTACCAGTTCATCATATTAAAGAAGAGGAGTATGGGGTGGGGATCAGCAACTGAAAATATTGCAGATGGTTAAAAGAAGTTTGTTCTTACAGAGAAGACCGATCTCGAGGCATGTTATCAACTTGTGATATCAGCAGAGATGTACCTTTATCAAACATGCCACAAAGTCACTCCAATCTAATCACCAATGCTGCAGCTGATGAAAAAGGGAGGGATATAGTTTACATTCAGCACATACCTCCATTTTGCATCTGATCACAGGATTTGGGCTACGATCAGTGATTTTATAATCCTATTAGAACTATTGAATTGTTTTGCTGTTTGTTTAGAAACAGCATTTTAATTTGGTTTTGATTAGTGTTCTGATAGAATAGAATCCCTATAGCATGGAAACAGGCCATTCGGCCCAACAAGTCCACACCAACCCTCTGAAGATCATCACACACAGACCCATTCCTCTACATTTCCCATGGCTAACAAAATGACCTACATATCCCTGGACACTGCAGGGTAATTTAGCCAATCCACCAATCCAATCTTTGGACTGTGTGTGGAAACTGGAGCAGTCAGAGAAAACCCACACAGAAACAGGGCAAATGTGCAAACGCCACATAAACAGTTGCTCGAGATTGGAATCAAACCCGGATCTTTAGTGCTGTGAGGCAGCAGTACTAACCACTGGGTCACCATGCCACTCTGTTAAGCTAATGTGCTGCCTTATATTATGTTCCGTTACATTTTCACATTGTGCTTTTGAAAACCATTAAGTCTGATTTTGTGGACGTAAGTTAGTTTACATAAAATGTGTTTTACAAAGAGTACATAAATTCATCTTTCATTTCTCTAGTATATAATGAAAAATTAGTGAATAGAATAGAATAGTAATTTATTGTCACTAGCATTTTTTACAAATAAAAGTGAGAAGTATTTGCATCGCCATATCATGATGCCTATATTAATAATAGACCTGGACAATATCCAGGCTTGGGCTGACAAGCGGCAAGTGACATTTGCGCCACACAACTGCCAGGCTACGACCATAAGAGACAATCTAACTACAATCCGATGACATTCAATGGTGTTACTGTCACTGAATCCCCCACTATCAACATCCTGGGTGTTATCATTGACCAGAGACTCAACTGGACTCACCACATAAACACTGGCTACAACAGCAGGTCAGACACTAGGAATACTGTGGCGAGTAACTCATCTCCTGACTCTTCAAAGTCTGTCCACCATCTACAAGGCACAAGTCATGAGTGTGGTGGAATACTCCCCATTTGCCTGGGTGAGTACAGCCCCAACAACACTCAAGAAACTTGACACCATCCAGGACAAAGCAGCCCGCTTGATTGGCACGACATCCACAAGCATCCCCTCCCTCCACCACTGACATTCAGTAGCAGCTGTGTGTACTATCTACAAGATGCAATGCAGAAATTCACCAAAGATCCTCAGACAGCACCTTCCAAACCCACGACCACTTCCATCACGAAGGACAAGGGCAGCATTATAAATGGGAACACCACCGCCTCCAAGTTCCCTTCCAAAAACCATTCACCATCCTGATTTGGAAATATATTGCCGTTCCTTCCAACCCTGTTGCTGGGTCAAAATCCTGGAATTCCCTCCCTAATGGCATTGTGAGTCAACCTACAGTAGGAGGACTGCAGCGGTTCAAGAAGGCAGCTCACCACCACCTTCTCAAGGGCACCTAGGGATGGGCAAGAAATGCTGGCCAGCTAGTGATGCCCATGTCCTACAAATAAATAGGAACAGAAGGCATAGATGAGAAAAAAGAAAGACCAAGCCTATTTAGTTCAATTCACGGCTCCTGGGTTCAGGAAAAGACAGTACCGCTGCAGAAAGCTGACAAAGCTGCCCCTGAAGAAGAAGACCGCCATGCCAGGCTGCTGGAAAACCAGGCCGCACGACTCTGCGCAAAGCCACCGGAAGGACCAAACTCATCACCAAAGCTGGGGATCCATACCAGCCGCTGGAATTTCAGGATGCACGACTCCGCAGAATCCCGAAGCCGCCCCAAGGACATAACTTATCACCAATCCCAGTCTGGAAGATGTGGCAGAAGCCACCCAAAGGAATGCCAGGCTGCTGGATGCCAGGCCGAAACAACGTCATGGCCAAAGCCGCCACAGACCTGGACCGATGGAATCCCAGGCCATGCTGCCGAAAGTGCTGAAACAGACCACCACTAGAAACCACCACAGTGTCCACAAAGAACTGCCATTGCCACCAAAGCAGCTGCCTCAATGATGATAAGACTATATATTACTGCTAGTAATATTCACCTAGATAAATTATTTTTCATTTAGCATATTTAAAAGACACGTAAGGGGCAACTTTTTCACACAGAGTAAGGTGTGTATATGGAATGAACTGCCAGAAGAATCGATAGATGCAGGTACAGTTACAACATTTAAAAGGCATTTGGACAGCACACGAACAGGAAAGGTTTAGAAGGATATAGGCCAAACACATTGTTTAGTTTGAGAAACCTGGCCGGCATGGGCGAGTTGGATCAAAGGGTCTATTTCCATGATGTACAGTCCTATGACTTCATGACTGTATGATTAAGGAAAGAAACAGCACAAACATCCAAGAGGCAAATCCATTGTTTCATACTTTACATGTTGAGGAAGAATAGAAAAGCAGATTTTATGTTCAGGGAGACTTGGGTGAGCTTCTACAAGGAAAATGGAAAGTTAGCATGCAGGTGCAACAAGTAATTAGAAAGTTTGTTAACATGTTGTCCTTTATTGTAAGGAGATGGGAATATAGGAATAAACAAATCTGACTATAATTGTACTTGGTGATACTACTGGAATACTCTGTACAGTTTTGTTTTCAACATCTAAGAAAATATTTACTGTCGTTGGAGGTGGTAGAGCACAGGTTCACAAGATTGGTCCTTGGGAAAAGGGTTTATAAATGAGGCACTGAATAAATTGGGCCTTTGTTCTCTGGAGTTTAGAAGAATGAGCGGTGATCTCATTGAAATGTACAAGATGCTGAAGAAAATATGGAATATTGTATCAAATTAATCTCACAAATGTGTACAGGAATACAGTTTAAAATAAAGGGATAATACTACTGTCAAAATAGGGAATTTGCTTTCAAGCTGAAGTCTTCATGTGGTTACATCACCAATAGTTAGTTCAATTCTAAGGTTATTAGATTTGTGTTTGCAATTCCTAACAGCAAAGAAACAGCACAACATGAACTATAATCAAAACAGCATGTGTTGATTAGGTGCACGTGAATGTGAAGCAGAATGCCTTGTTAAGATTGTGCAGTGTAATAAGGCAAAAGGTATTAATTGTTTTGCATTATAAAATATAAATCAGCTAAAAATGGTAAAATGTAGTTGTCTGAAGCCATGTCAAAGGAATAGATCAAGAAAAGCAACCATCCACTGAAAGATATGAATTTGAGCCAAATTAACAGCAGCTGGACAATTCAGGTGCCATGTAAGGCATCACAATTTTGAGTTTGTGTAAAGCCAAAAAGAGAACATGATTTGAAGAACCAATCCAACAAAAACACAAAATTATCATGTAACAGAAGGAAGCCATTTGGCCCTTCGTGCTTGCATCAGTTATCCAATGAGAATTATAACTTAGTGACATTTGTCTTTTCCCCAGATACATTGGATGATTATCTGAACAGAGATAAAGCCCTCTTGGCTGCCTCCACCACACTTCTCACAGTACATTTCACACCCAAATATGAAAACATCTTTTCTTGCAGACGCTTGCAAATCATTTTAAATCTATTTCCTTGATCCTATCATGAGTGGAAACCATTTCTCCTTATCTACTTAATCCAAACTTCTTATGGCTGTGATACCTTCAATCAGATCTCTTCTTTGCTGCCTTCTCTCCACAGAGAACGTCCTAATATCATACCTATCCTCATAAACAAAGTTTCTCGTCCCTGAAAATATATTTGTAAATCTCTTCTGCATTGTCCCTAAAGTGTTCATGTTCTTCTCATAATTTGATGCCCAGAACTGTACCAAATACACCAGCTGAAGTCTAACAAGAGTCTTCTTTTTTAAATTTCGGCATAACCTCCTTGCTTGTGTATGCTATATCCCTATTAATAAAGCTCAAGATACTGTATGCTTTATAATTGCTGTCTCCACCTGTCCATGCCACTTTCAGTAATCTATGTACATATACATGCGAGTTCTTCTGTTCCCTTAAGTACCGCTATTTAAATGTCTGTCAATGTCCTTTCTACCAAATTGCTTCACCTCAGACTTCTTTGCATTGAACTTCATCTACCACCTATCTGCACACTCCATTAGCTTGTCTATGTCCTGCTGGAGCACAACACTGTGCTCAGAGTTTATAATGCTTCCAAATTTTATATATCATCTGTAAACTTTCCAAATTTTCCCTGCATACTATGATCTAAATCATTAATGTATGTAATTTGAAGCAGAGGACCCAATACCAATGCCATATAACATCGACTACAAACCTTCCTCCAGCCTGAAAAGTCTCAGATGACCATCGCTCCATTTCCTATCACTAGGCCAATTTCATATCCACATAGGTACTTCCCCTTTTAATCAATAACCTGAAACTTTCCTCACAAGTCTATTGTGTGTCATTGTATTGAATGCCTTTGAAAGTCCACATACATCATATGGAAACCATGCCGTCATGCCCTTATTTTAATTTCTATTTCCTTTTACATCCAAGAAACTCTGGATTTGTTTGCTCTCCCTTTCAAATGAATATACATTGAATGGACTTAAACCACCTCCTCTTTGAAGGAAGCCAATTGTTCATCTCCATTTTTTCGTGTCAGCCTTACGTTCCAGTCTATCTGTTAAACTCTGTTCTTCTCAGTTAATTAATCCTACTCAGGATTGCTTATTGTCATTTTCTGTCATCATCCTAAAGCTTATAATACAGTGACTATCACTATCTCCTAGATTATTTCCCATTTTTATCTAATTGGTTCACCTTATTTCCAGGTCCAACTGCATTCTTCCAGGTTTATAGGATACATATTGTTGTTGGAAATTTTTGTGAACACAATTTAGGAATGTTTTTCTGTCTCTGTCCTTTAATTCCAATACTGCCCCATCTACACTGAGGTAGGTGAGTCCCCAATTATAATTATTCTATACTGTTGGAGTTTCTGTAATTTCCTGCAGATTTGTTCCTCTACGTGCTTCTCACCGTTTGGTGTAGTCTACAGATCGCACCTTTTTTGTTCCTTATTCTCAGCTAGATTGATTCTGCCCTTTAACCCTCTGTAATAAGTTATCTTCATAGATATTTTCTAATCAACCTGTTCAGATATGTTATGACGCACCTCTGGAAAAAGTGGGACTTGAACTTAGGTCTCCTAGTTCAGGGATAGAGACACGTCACTGTGCTACAAGAACACTAATTTGATTTTTTTTTCAAATAGAGATCCAATGAGTAATCAGGTGTATCAGAAACAATAACCGTATCCCGAAAGTAATGACCTGTTGTAATGAATGACAGAAAGGTCAGGAGATGCACAACACAATACACAGGCAGTCAACATAGACATTGAAATTGTTTATTTGAATGATATATGTTGAACCATAGAAGAAATGATTTTCATAAATTTTAGTATATTTTTTACTGATTCTTTGAATGAAAATTCTCTGTGCCTCAAACATTACAGATAGTATGTATACTGAACGTTACATGGGCTATCCAACAGAGAACGACAACCTTCAGTTCTACAAGGTAAGCCACACTGAGTGAATGTAATATTAGTCTTCAGACTGGGAATCCATAGGATCAAGTGAAATGCTGGTATTACATCTGTCCATTGTTACTGTCTCCTGACTTCAGTATAGGGTAAATCTGATGAGTGCAAAAGCATTTTTGTACTTGATTCTGTCAATTTTTCAACAGTGTTTAGGTAAAATTTATCCCAAGTTTGTCTTTCTCTGAGTATGTAATTGCGAATGGGATACAATGGAAAAGCAACTAATGAGCCCAAAACAAAAATAGGCTACATCTTGCTTGGCATTATTGGTTTCACTACCGAGGAACATTAGTATAGGAATAGACCATTCAGCCTGTCATTTACTACAATCATGGCTGATTGTATCAGTATCACTTCAGTATCTTGTACCCACAATATCTCCAACATTTTCTGTTTTTATTTCAGAAATGTAATAGGCTTTGAGCAATGGGCAGGTGGGTCAGGAACAAAAAGAAAGTCGATGATACAGTGAAGGATAGGAGAGATTGAATGACAGAAAAGTCTCCTCGGTTAAGAAAACCAGAAAACATCTCAGGTGTACTGTTGTGGAAGATCCCATCATCAGAACACAAAATGGAAAAGCTAAGAGAATGTAATTGATTCCTCACAAGGAAGTAGGGTATGAGGAAGTGTCATCTAGATAGATGTTGGAGTAATTAGAACATAGGCAATCACAAAAAAATGAGACAGGAAAGTCAAGGAAGAAATAGTTGGAGATGGACCATATGAAAATGAGACAAGAGTTTTCTATTCAATTTCTGGTTAATCCTTTGTTTTTAAAGATGACTAACTGCAAATTCGCTATTACACTTCAGTACGTATAAAGGTAAGGTTACCACTTACCAGACCATAGACAGAGACGACTAGTGGTGCTTTACCCTGAGGTTCAACACACCTCAGGTGGGACAGAAGTTGAGAAGGAGACTCCTTCATTGTAACCTCAGCTGATTTAGGAATTGAACCCAGGCTTTTGGCATCAGTCTGTAAATGAGACATCCAGCCAACTGAGCTAACTGATCACAAATTTATAAATAGCTGGGGAAACTCAGCAGGGCAGGCAGCATCTGTGGAGAGAAAGTGGAGTTAATGTTTTGAGTCCAGTGACTCTCCTTCAGAACTCAACCAACCCCCATTCTGTGTTAATACATGCAACCCAATTAAATATCTTAAATTTCCCTCTGGATTTATTTTTAATTATGTGTAATCATTATACTGTGTTTGTAAAAGATCGATATTTTGTGTGCTGTGCATTAGCCACAAAATCATAAACTAACCTAGCTACCTTTAAAAATGTTTATTCTAGAATGAACCTGGATATTTTTTATACAGCATTGGTCTAATAGAGAAATAAGTTTTAAATTTTAAAACATTTGTAATTCTTTTAATATTTTGTTCTTAGTCATCACTTTCTAATTCAGCAGTTTTTCTTTAATTCTTTTAATTGCTTCCCAGAATTCTACTGTGATCGAAAGAGCTGACAAATTCAAACTTGTTGATTACCTCCTCATCCACGGGACAGCAGATGGTGAGCTTGATAGATTCTGGATTGTCCAGTATCTTAAGTAAATCACAGTTATATTTAACTGCAGATAGGAAACCAATCTGCAGGGCAAATACTGAGCAAGCAATAATACTTCATTATGAAACATTAGACATCCTATTAAACATCAGAGTAATTGTCTGTATATATCAACGGATGCATATTTGTTCAATTTAATGCATTATCTTTTGGTAAGCATTATGTCAGTGACAGATTTTTTGAATGTGTCACCTGGAATTATCACTTACAGCTAATGTAACTTGTTTGCTTTAGCTATAACATATCAAGCAGAGTGGAATATAATTTCACTAATACACTTTGTTTTTCAGATAATGTCCATTTCCAGCAAGCAGCACAGATTTCAAAGGCTCTTGTTAATAAAGAAGTAGATTTCCACGCAATGGTACGTTAAGGCTTAGCAGTTACAAAAATGTCACCTAATGCACTTTATGCCTTATTATTTTGATATGGATTATTTATAGTATGGAACCACAGAATTGCTACAGGACAAAAAGAGGCCAGTTAGCCCATCGTATTTGTTCCTACTGTCCAAATATGTATTTCACTTACTGGCATTCTTCTGTGTTCCCCTATATCTCTTTCAGATAACAGTTAAATTCCCTTTTGAACACCCCATTAGAATCTCCCTCCAGCACAGTTTCAGGCAATGTGCTCTTGACGTTAACACCTTTAAACTCTAAAATATAACTCATGGAATCTTGCTGAAAAGATAATGGTGTGTTAATATTGCAGATATCCTTAATAGACAATTTCTCGTTATTAAGAGTTGTGCTGTGAGCTGTGATTTTCCACTAATTTCATAGAAATGTCAGAAAATTTAGAACACATATGCCATTTAACCCATCATGTCTATATCAATCTGCAAAGAATTACCCAACCTAATCCAACCTTCTTGCATGAGGTACATAGCTCTGCAGATTTGGGCTTTTCAAGTAGTCACCCAAGTCCTTGTTTAAATTTCTGCCTATACCACCCTTTCAGGCAGTGAGACTCAGTTCCCCACCATGTCTCTGAGTACAACATTGTTTCCTCATCCCCTCTCTAATCTTTCTACCAGTTGATTTAAATTTGTGCCCCTTTTGACACTTCTGTCTCGTTATAACTTTATGCATATCAGTTATGTCGACCTCAACCTTCTCTGTTCTAAGAAAAGCAATCTCAAGGTAGTGGAGATTTTATTGGAAAAGAGGTATAAAACTCTTTTCATTTAGTTAGATAAGTTACAAGTTTTTAATTTATAATAGTAGGATCCTCAGTTGTGCCTGATCTCACTAGGTATGAATGACCAGTATTTACAAATCAAGTAAAATATATTCAGAAAGATGTTATATACTTAACAAAAGCTGTGAAGATAGCTACTTATCCTACAAAGCCGAGGATTCCTTGTGTGCTAGCAGCACAGATTATGCCTTTTTTCTTCTCTGAAGCAGCATTATGTTGAACTATATCACAGAAGAATTTCACTACAAAATCAGTGGTGAAACTATACTGAAGAAAATTGTGTTTCCAAATTTTATTCCTTAATTCTAACTCCCACTCATCTCTTATTAAGCAGTAACCCAAACTAAACCTTTCCATTGGCTACAAGTGAGGGTCACCTGCTTTCACTCCACCAGCTAACTCGAGGCATGTAGGCTGAGGAAAATATATGTTTTTTATTTCCTCAACCCCCAAGGTTTCATTCCATTATGAAAAAAATCACTTAGTCTTTTAGGTGCAGAACAGTCGTACAAACAATGTTATATTTCCTTATCAATAACACAAGCACTTGTAAACTATTCACCTAAACATCCCATGAATACTAAGGCAATGAAAAATAGATGTGAGTAATAATTCTTATCAATGACAGAAAATGGCATTCTAAAACATAGGTGTTCCTTCCCAGAGTTAATACATCAAGGTACAAATATGTACTAGGCTATTTTAAGAATAGCGTTTTGTCAAATTAAAATTAAAAAAAAAAAGCCATGGTGAGTTAAATTGCTGAAAAAGCTCAGCAGGGTTTGGCAGCATCTGTGGAGAGTTAACATTTTGGGTCCAGTGATCCTTCTTCAGAATTGATTATGGCTGGGAGGAGGTGGTACATATGCTGAAGATAGGAGGTTGAGAGTGGGTGATGGTGGTGGTGTGAGGTAGGGTGGTTTGGGAAAGGAGTAAACAACAAGTAGGAACGAAGCTGAGAGAGAGAGAACAACAGTTGGACAGAGGAATGGGTAAAGGTCAACCTGGAAAATCAATAGCTGCTAATATGGTAGTTGTGATGACAAGACCTGATGCGTGGGAGTTGGGGTAAGCACCTGGAAGAAGGTGCTCAGGCCCTAAAATTATTAAGGCTGCAGGATACCAGAGTAGAAAATGAGGTGCTTTTCTTCCAGCTTGTGCTGTGCTTTGCTGGAGCACTGCAGCAAACTCGAGAGAGAGATGTTGGCCAGGAACAGTAAAGCCTGCCTCTTTGTTGGGTACGCAGAACATTCCTTGTTCCAATTCTACTCTGGGTCCCTCCCCACAACCCTTTCTCCAGTACATCGACGACATCATCAGTGCCGCTTCAATTTCACTTCCAACTTCCACCCTGCTCTCACCTTCATCTGGTCCATTTCTGGGGATAGGCTGGCCACCAATATCTACTACAAACTCACCAATTCCCACAGTTACCTTTACTAAACATCCTCACACCCTGATTCTTGCAAAGACTCTATTCAGTTCTCCCAGTCTCTCTGTCACATGTGTTCCGATGATGCCAATTTTGTCAAGGGGGGCCTTCAAGATGTCCACCTATTTCCTCAACCAAGATACCCCACCCCTGTGGTTGACAGGGTTCTCAGCCTTGTCTGACCCATTTTCCACACTTTGGCACTCAGCCCTTCTCTTTTCTCCCACAACGGTGCTAGGGTCCCCCTTGGTCTTCACTTACAACCCCACAGGCATCCATATTCAAAGGATCATTAGCTAACATTTCTGCCACTTCCAGGGGTATGCCACCACCAGACACATATTCCACTCCCCTCCCTTGTCAGACTTGCGCAGTGACCATTCCCTCCAGTCCACCTTCACTTAGTCCACTTCTCGACCAATCCCAACATTTGTTTTTTTTTCCCCTTGTCATTAGTCCATCTTTCTTTCCCATTTCTTAAATCACCTTAAAAGAGCTGCACCCTGTGGTCCTGATGATCACTAACGTTTCAAATGCACCAATTTCCTCACAATGACACTGAGCAACTTACAGGATAAAATAAGTTTGAGCTGAAGCATGCAGAAAATTGCCTAAATTAGGTGATAATTCATACTCAAACAGGATGCCCTCCTTTTGGGCAAAATCTACTATATGATAAACAACTAATCACACTGCTGACTTTGGCAGGAATTAAATGGAATCCCCATTTATGTTTGGAAACAGGACTTTAAACTAAACCTCTGGCAAAGCAGGAAAACTATGTATATTATTTGCGTGCATATGTGTGTGTGTGTGACTACTCTGGAGTAACTACCTCAGGGCACTTTATTAGAAAGTTATTCTAGACTAATTTTATATTCTGCAAAAGAAGCAATGACAGAAGTCCACCTGTCTATCATTTTTTCTCTGTGATGTAGGTGACTTTAATTATCTTGAATGATCCATGCAAAGGAAAAAGTAACTCATGAACCAAATGGCTGATGCGCTGAGTTTAATTCATATTATCCACGTCAATATGTTTCCATTTCATTCAGTTTTATTGCAGTATTGACTAAGATTAGAAGACGGCTTATTTTGTTACTGTATAATATAGCTCACACATATTGATATTCAGAAAACAATTAATTTGATCTGCACATCAAATTTTGTTTATTATTTTAGGCACTGATTATCTTTCACATTTATATTGCCCACAATATACCTATAATAAAAAGGCAGCAATTTTTGGTACTCACCATCAATCTTAAACAGTATTTGCTTAACACAAAGCATTACCTGTTTTTCAAGTAATAGCTGACAAGTTTTAACACCTTCCCTACTCAGCTAATTATTGTTCTGCTTATCATGATACAAAGTTAAGATAATTGAAAAACAATTAAGGTCAGTGGAAAGTTTTAGATAAAATTAACAGTCGTGGAATTGAAGATATATTATTAACCCAGTTAGGAGTTAGATAGACAACAGACGACATTCATTAATAAGAAAGAAAGAAACGCACAGATACATGATTCACAGTGAATAGTACAATGAAAGTCACCATAGTCCTGCCGGACCGTACGGCAGCTCTCTCATTAGAGACAGATGATTGATGGTGGTTTAACCTGAGGGTCACCACATCTCAGGCAAGGGGAGAGGTGGCGATGGAGAATCATTCATGGTAAACTCAGCTGGTGTAGGATTTGAACCCATGCTGTTGGCATCACTGCATCGATTAGATGTTTACTTGAGCTTATGATTCTCAAACTAGTGTTGTTTATATTGAAATAGACTATTCCATGCCCCTTGGATATGGAAGATAAATACTGAATATCAATATATGGTTTCGGATTTCACCCTGAGTATTGAACAAGTTTAGAGGAAATGTTTGACCTAACAGTCAATATGGACTCAGCAATTATAGGTGGGAAAACTATGGCATGGAAAATTCAGGCAGTTAGGAATAATTTCAGAATATTAAGAAAAGGTTTAAGAAAACCTTATGCAGTTAATTATTGGGAAGATTAGAAAAATAAATTATCTCAAAACAAGATAAATTCTGATTTTTGTTTCTTTATATTTCAGTGGTATACAGACAAGGACCATGGACTAAGCGGTCTTGCCTACTCTCATCTGTACACCCATATGTCCCATTTTCTAAAACAGTGTTTCTTTAACAATGAATAAAGCAGGGAAATATATTTCAATAAATGGAAAATAAAAAGCAAATTCTATCAAGAAAGTATGTCAAACATTTATGTTGGGAAAATATTATAATCTAGGTCTTTAAAGTGTGTTTATTTTGTTCTCACCAAAATAAAGACTGAACCTCTATATCAAGATGATTAGCATATTATTTGCAATTTTTGTACACAATCCAATTGGCAATATTACATAATTTTGAACAAACACTGCACTTTGGATCTCGGTAAAGATGTTGGCATAATTGCAGGTCTCATTAAGAACTAAATAAAAAAAATTGAACAACTTAATATAATTTCTTACCAATAAATAATGACTATTTTTGCTCAGTGCAAGCTTCAGTCTCTTCTAATTTGCCAGTACTGTGAAGAAAAATAATCAATCACAGTTGGTATTTCTGAAGAGGAATTAGCTCGCAGTTGATATTTAGAAGTTTCATTAGAGGGTAAATTCTTTGATTCTGTTCTAGCATGGAGCTGTACACCAGATCCTTGTTATCTGCAGGGAGGTAAGGACCTAGACGTCCCATGGATAACAGGTCTGGAGACACCCTTGTAAACACATGGATGCATGGGTAGAGAATTAGTGGATAGCAAGGACAGGATGTACTCAATGAGCCGGCAGGTCAGAGATATAGTACTCACTATTATATTTCTCTGATCCGTGTCTTTTTGAAACATTGCTCACGTTCAAGTGTGCCTTATTGATAAATTTGGCCTTTTTCAAGAAAAATTATTAGAAGGCAGTGAAAAAGTTGTATGATTTGTGTCACATTCCACGTTATCACTTATAGAGCCACAGAGTCATACATCATTCAAAACAGACCCTTCAGTCCAACTAGTCTTCGTTGACCATGTTCCCAAACTAAATTAGTCCCACTTGCCTACACTTGACCAAAATCCCTCCAAACCTATCCCATTTGTGTACTTATCCAAATGTCTTTTAAATGTTATAACTGTACCTGCATCCACCACTTCCTCTGGCAGTTCATTCCACACATGAACTGATCTCTGTGTAAAAACATTTCTCCTCATGTCCTTTTTAAAACTTTCTCCTATCACCCTAAAAATATGCCCTCTAGTTTAGACGTACTTTACCCTAGGGGAAAGACCATTGCTATTCACCTTATCTCTCATGATTTTAGAAATCTCTATAAGATCAACCATCAACCTCCTACGCTTTGGGAAAAAAGTCCCAGTCTATCCAGTCTATTTTTATAACTCTAACCCTCCATTCCCAGCACCATCCTGGTAAATCTTTTCTGAACCCTCTCTGATTTAATAATATTCTCCCTATGGCAGGGCGACCAGAACTGCACACAGTACTCTTGAAGAGACCTCACCACTATCCTGTACAACCACAATAAGACATCCCAACGCCCATACTCAAAGGTCTGAGCAATGAAGGCGAGCGTACTAAATGCCTTCTTAACCACCCTGTCTACCTGTGATGCAAACTTCAATGTACCTGAATCCTGAGGTCTCTCTGTTCTACAACAATACCCAGGGCCCTACTATTAATTGTATGAATCTTAGAACATAGAACAGTACAGCACAGTACAGGCCCTTTGGCTCATGATGTTGTGCCGAACTTTTACCCTAAACCTAAAGTCTATCTAACCTCCATCACTACCTTATACTATCATCCATATGCCTATCTAATAGCCACTTAAATGGCCCTAATGAGGCCAACTCCACTACCCTCTCCGGCAATGCATTCACTGCCCTACCACTCTCTGATAAAGAACCTACCTCTGACGTCTCTCCGATATCTACCTCCTTTCACTTTAAAACTATGTCCCCTCGTAAAAGCTACCTCTACCCTAGGAAAAAGTCTCTGGCTGTTTACTGTATCTATACCTCTGATCATTTTATACACCTCTATCAAGTCACCTCTCATACTTCGTCGTTCTAAAGAGAAAAGCCCTAGCTCTCTCAACCTTTCCTCGTAAGACTTTCCCTCCATTCCAGGCACCGTTTCTAACGCTTCCACATCTTTCCTGTAATGAGGCGACCAGAACTGGACACAATACTCCAGATGTGGCCGAACCAGGCTTTTGTATAGCTGGAGCATAAATTCACGGCTCTTGAACTCAATCTCTCTATTAATGAAAGCTAACACACCATATGCCTTCTTAACAATTCTATCCACCTGGGTGGCAGCTCTCAGGGAACTATGAACATGAACCCCAAGATCCCTTTCTCCTCCACACTGCCAAGAATCTTTCCATTAACCCTGTATTCTGCTTTCAAGTTTGTCCTTCCAAAATGAATCACCTCACACTTTTCAGGGTTAAACTCCATCTGCCACTTCTTAGCCTGGCTCTGCATTCTATCAATGTGCCTTTGTAACCTAGAACAGCCCTTCGCACTGTCCACAATGTGACCCCCCTTCGTATCGTCCACGAACTTGCTAATCCACCCTTCCACTCCTTCATCCAAATCATTCACAAAAATCACAAATAGAAGAGGACCCAGAACAGATCCTTGTGGTACACCACTCATAACTGAACACCATGTTGAATATTTTCCGTCCACTACCACCCTTTGTCTTCTAAGGGTCAGCCAATTCTGAATACAATCTGCCACATTTCCCCCTATCCCATGCCTCCTTACTTTCTGCATGAGCCTACCATGGGGAACCTTATCAAACGCCTTACTTAAATCCATGTATACCACATCCACTGCTCCACCTTCATCCACGTGTTTGGTCACCTCTTCAAAGAATTCAATAAGGTTTGTGAGGCATGATCTACCCCTCAAAGATCCATGCTGACTATCACGAATCAAACTGTGCCTTTCCAAGTGATCATAAATCCTGTCTCTCAGAGCCCTTTCCAATAATTTGCCCACCACTGACGTAAGACTAACTGGCCTGTAATTTCCGGGGTTATCCCTGTTCCCTTTTTTGAACAAGGGAATGACGTTTGCCTCTTTCCAATCTTCCAGCACTATACCCGTGGACAGTGAGGATGAAAAGATCATTGCCAAAGGCCCTGCGATCTCGTCCCTCGCTTCCCATAGAATCCTTGGATAAATCCCATCAGGCCTGGGGGACTTATCTATCTTCAACTTCCTCAGAATTCCTAGCGCATCTTCTTTACTAACATCAACCTCCTCTAGCCTACCTGCCTGTTTCACAACATCCTCCTCTACAACTAGGTCCCTCTCTGTTGTGAATACTGAAGAAAAGTATTCATTAAGGACCTCTCGTATCTCTTTAGGCTCCGTGCACGAATTCCCTTTACAATCCTTGATCGGCCCTACCCTTTCTCTGGTCATTCTCTTGTTCTGCACATACGTGTAAAAAGCCTTGGAGTTTTCCTTGATCCTATCCGCCAAGGTTTTCTCATGCCCCCTTATAGCTCTCCTAAGCCCTTTCTTTAGCTCCTTCCTGGCTAACTTGTATCCCTCTAGAGCCTTTTCCGTTCCTCTTTTCCTAAACCTTACATAAGCCTCCTTCTTCCTCTTAACCGGTCATTTGACCTCTCTTGAGAACCATGGCTCCCTTGCTTGACCGCATCTTCTCTGCCTGCTAGGGACAAACATATTGAGCACATGCAGTATGCATTCTTTAAACAATCTCCACATTTCTGTGGTGCTCTTCCCTGACAGCATCTGTTCCCAATTTATGTTACCCAGTTCTTGCCTAACTGAATTGTAATTACCCTTCCCCCAATTATAAACTTTACCCTGCTGTATGTACCTATCCTTATCCATGAGTCTTGCCTTGATTGTTTTTATCAAAATGCAATATCTCACATTTATCCAATTTAAACTCCATCTGCCACTCCTCAGCCCATTGATTCATCGGTTAAAATCTCTTTGGAATCATAGATAACCTTCTTCACTTCCCAATATACTACTAATTTTGTGTAATCCGCAAACTTACTAACTATGCCTGTTATATTCCCAAACAAATTGTTTATATAAATGACAACCTAAACTGGACCCAGTACCGATCCCTGTGGAACACCACTGGTCACAGGCCTCCATTCTGAAAAACAACCCTCCACCACTACCTTCTGTCTCCCACCATCAAACCAATTTTGTATCCAATTGGTATGCTCACATGGAATCCCAAATGATATAACTTTATGAATTAGTCTACCATTTGGAACCTAGTGAAAGGCTTTATATGAGTTCATGTAAACGATATCTACTGCTCTGCCCTCATCAGTCTTTTTAGCTACTTCCTCAAAAACTCAGTCAAGTTTATGAGACATGACTTCCCTCATACAAAGATATGCTAACTATTCCTAATAAGTCCTTGCTTCTCCAAATGCATGTAAATCCTACCTTTCAGAAACACCTCCAACAACATATGATCAACATATCACCACTGGTGTCGGGCTCATAGGTCAATAGTTCCCAGGCTTCTCCTTACAGCCTATCTTAAATAAAGGCACAACATTAGCCACCCTCCAGTCCACTGGCACCTCACCTGTGGTCATAAATGATACAAATATTTCTGTTAGGGGCCTCAAAATTTCTTCCTTAACTTCCCACAATGCCCTGGGATAGACTTGACCAGGAGATATATCCGCCTTTAATGCTTTCTAAGACCTCCAGCATTTCCTCTTCTGTAATATGAACTGTTTCAAAATATCGATATAAATTGACTATGACAGCACAGGAGATAATTCAGCTCATTGTCACTACGTTGGTTCTTCACACTATACAAATGAGCCCCACTGTCAAGTTTTTTTTCCCCATATCACTGCAAATTAGTCCTTTTCAAGTACATATATATGTCCTATATGTATTCAACATCCTTTCAGTTTTTTTTAGGTCTCAGCACTTGTGCTTTGCTTTCCAGTGCTAAGGTTGCTATCTAATTCGCTATGCTCCTGACCCTCATGTTATGCATATTTAATATGCAATCAGTTGTAGGTCCAACAGAAGATGATATGCAAGGAGATCCCCTCTTTAGAATAATGTTTTAGTAGCCCCCTTTTAAACAGAGCCATGTATTTACTTTTAAGTCTAGACTTCTCAGGATTTAGATTCTGATCCCAGCTCGGACCTGCAAGTGGAGCCCAAGTGTATACTCTTTAGGAAAACTCCTGATCTAACCATGTGCACCTCTGTTCTCCACTGAATGGTGTAGACACAAGAACCCTGGCCATGTCCTT